ACCAGTCAACTGAAAGTTACTTCGATATTACGTTCAAAGACGAGATTGCAATTACGACTAATTTATTGGTCAAAGAGCGTGGTCTTGACACAAAAGCTCTGCTAAACTATCTAGTTATAGTATCGAGAATAATATGAGATCATTTAGATGAAATCGCCATTTAGTTCGTGTCTATAAGGAAGCTGTAGACAATATGTGTTACGTGCTAGTACAACATTTACTTTGATTGCAGAAGGGTCCAAAGAGGGAATCGGAAATAGGATTGGCGTGACTCTATGTTAAGTGATCAAACTAAAACACTATGTGTGAACATAACTTATATATCAGTGTGTCAGTCGTTGACGGATGGTCCTCTTGTTCCGAGGAAAAACATTTTATTAAGACAACTTTTTCAGTTAAAATATTTACTAAATCATGTTAAACCGCTTTCGGGGAAATTCAATGCCTAAATTTACTTGGACTATAAATCTATCAAAGAGCTTCTTCTATTGATCAAATGTGTCTGATAAGAGGAAGAATTTAAATTATGTCGTCAGAAAACTGATTTTGTGATATTAGAAAAATTCCGATTGTCGTTAAGAACTTTATTCATGAATAGAAAAATGCAATAAGTTTCATTTTTTTTTTTTTATTCGAATTGAAATTTATAGAATTCTATTTCTTTTTTTTCTTAATAACTTAATTATTTGAAATAAATTTTTTTAGAATTGATTCGATTATATTAAAAAAATTTTATCTTATGACTTACAAATGAATTTTTCTTTTAATAATAAAACCCAAGTGTTATCAAGAGCTAATGAAAAGCACATTATTTGATGAATTTTACAACTTTTAATTAATAAAACAAAAGCTCCTTGATGAAGACGGGATTGATTGACATTTTTGTTTCAACATCAAATTAATTTATGTAACTTTCTCAAAGTTAAAGTCGTTGTTTTTTTTTTTTTAAACTTAGATTGAATTTTAGATGCAATAAAAAATGTAATAATCATAATAACTATCGGATTTTTTTTAATTAAAAGAAAACAGTAAACAAAATAAATCAAAAAAAAATATATAAATACATTTATTGGAAAAAAATATCTAGTTTTATCTGACTGCAAAACACCGTTTCAGTTGAATAATATATAAATCCGTAGCCAAAATTGATAGATTTATTACTGGAAATTCATTCTCAAATTCCATTTCTAATGTTTATCACAATTTCCACGGTTTATTTAAATAAAACTTTTCATCAGTTTGAACACAAAAATCAAAAAATGTTCTAGTTTAATAAAATAGAATATCAATATTCTTTGGGTATGTGTAGAAAATATTTATTAATTTTCAACAAAAGCATTGATGAAATTTTTCAACATCATATTTTTCGATGCTACGTTATATATGAGATTGTAATGAAAACATGAAATACGTTTAGTGTATACAGAAAGTGAGTTTATATTGACTTAAGGCAGATGTACGTGTCAAAGGTACGTTGAAAGAAGCTTTTTCTCTAGTGATACGAAGGTAGATCCGGAAAGTGGCTTCGCAGTCTGCAAGTGGCTAGAAAAGAAACCTAGAGAGTACAGAGAAGAGAGAAGTTGATGTAGAGGAGTACAAAATTCTGTTTCCCACTCTTCGGAAGAGAGCGTACTTGATCCGTAGAATCTGGCAGGCGACTCGCGGAAGGAGAGAAAAAGTTATTTACTCCCATGAGGGGTCTTGAGAGTGAAACGAGGAAAGATCCTGCCTGCTTACCTTCTTTTCCATGTACTTCTCTTTCTCTCTGTACTCGTGCGACTCTCAAGCCGACGCCTTCGCTCTTGGCAAATATTTGCCGTAAGATTGGGGGCGAAAACGGGTTGGGAGTTGCTACGGACAAATAGAACGGAATATAGTGTACGTGCAAGGAAAATAAAGGGGTGAATGACGACGTAGAGAAGAAGAAGAAGAAGAAGAAGAAGAAAGAGGGAATACATTGGAACGAAGATTCAAGTCAAAAAACACCTTGGCATTTTTCCGAAAGCTTTTTTTGTTGAGTCAATCGAGTGAATCCGTTTCTATTGGAATGAATTAACATCAACATTATTGATGTACTATTTAATAAAAGTGAGTTAAACTTTACTTTAAATTTTTTTTTTCTACCTAAAAGTGCGTTGGAAAAAATAAATTATAATTTTACGAGCCTGCGAACCTCATTATCACTTTGTAGAAATTAATTTATACCAACTCGCTGTTATCTCTTTTTATGATATTATTCCAGAAAATTTTAAAATGATTTTTTAATTTTTTTTTTCAACCTTTCATCTCAATTTGTTAAATATATGCTCACCAACCTCTCAGAGAATAAATCATTATTTTCCATATCATATTTCTTCATCTCTAATATTTATGTATTAATTATAAAATATTAATTAAAATATAGATTGATTATTAATGAAGAATATTAAATGACATGACTGAAAGAAAATACATCACTCATAGGAATGACAACTTGAATTTTTTTTCAACAAAAACGTAATATTCTTTATTAGTAAGTTTAAAAGTCTATAGTTGGACAACTTGGACTGTGACATTTTGAGTGGACGACCTTTGTTCATGAAAGAAGATTCTATTCCATCTCTTTTACAGTTGGTTGATAACGAGTGGCCATTAATTCCTGTAAAAGGAAGAATTTTCACCAGTCAAGCCATTGTCCCCATTTCATTCACTACTTTCCATTGTCTCGACTTTCTTCTGTCGATCCAGCTTGACGTTGTGCTTCTTCAACGAAAGTGGAGCGACTCTATTGGGGGCCTGCAGGTTACTTCGGGGGTTGCTTGACCTCTCGACACCTTGCACAGATATAGAGAAAAGGAAAAACGAGAATGGAAGAAGAGACTCAGTGGATGGAAAACGGATATCCAATTGTAATTTTGTCGAAATCTCTCGAGAGTTCTCATTCTTTATTCTTATTTCTTTTGTCCTACTTGAATTCTCTCGTCTGTGACGGTCTCTAACGAGTGCTTTGCACCCCCTGCACACACCGCAACTACGACTCCCTTAGTTCCAATGACCATAAAGATTCTGCCAGGAAAGAAATCTATGAAGATGTCACTTTACGTGATTTCTTTCTTCTGCCATCGTTCCCACGACAATCAGTTGGATTCATTCGTTTTTATGCGGAAATCCGGTGAGTTTTAACGGCAAAAAGAAGTCGAAAAACCGATAATCTAGAACACAGTATGGTAAAAGAACGGAATGTAGAAAAATAATAAAAGAAGATAAGAAGAGTGGAAAAGTGTTCCATGATAATAAGAAGACAAGCTGACATAAGAAGCCAGCAACGAGAACGATCAACAGTAAAAATGGTCGTTGTGGGGTCAGACATTCGTATTTCCTTCCCTATGGCAACATAAGCATACAAGGCTATGAGGAAACCAAGATATTCTCTCTCAAGTAGAGAGATTGCGCGCGTTTATACGCTCTCGACCTTAAACTCTGGTTTTACGGCAATGCAAATTTTTACATCTCGCTCATTTTATGCCACTCGGACAAGAAAACGTAGAAATAAAAAAAGTTGAGTACAGGAAATGTATAAGAATGGATGATGGGCAATGTAAAGAAGTAACGTAAGTGTAAAATACAGAAAAGATGCAGCCTGAGTTCAAATAAAGCTCAGATTTTCTTATCTTTTATCTGCTTCACACTCGGCAACCATCTACGTATATTTCTTCTAGTGAAATAACATTTATTAAAGTCAAAGAAATTTTTTTTCTTTATTTCTAAAATTGAACTGATGTCAGTTTTTATATTTTTCTACGTCTGTCTTTGGTTGAATTAAGTTTTTCAAGCTTTTGCAATTTCAAGGGTAGACAATTTTTATCACACTTTCCTTTGATAATGTTTTTGTACTTAAATATATTTTGTAAATTAAAAAATTTAATAACACTTTATTATATAAATAACAATAAGTTCTACATATTAGCTTATTTCTTTGCTATTTCTATTCATTATTTTTAATTATTTTCATTTCGACGTAATAAAAGAATTTTTATTAATTTTTTTTTTTTCCTTTAAATTGATGTCAATTGAAATAAATTTATCGATCTGTTTTGACTTTAAAAATAAATAATTTTGAGCGATAAAATAAGTCTGAAATCCAAAACGATTCATTTTTATTCTATAAATAATAAAAAATAATGTGAGTTTTCAATTTCATTAACTTTTCAAATTAAATTAATTTCCGTAGATTTATTTTACATTTCCAATTTCTAAAATGGATTTCACAGACTTCCTTAACATTATTTTTGCGGTATGCACCAAAAAAAGACTCACAATTTTCAGGTTTTCTCATCTTTCATCTTCTTCATGATTTTTAAAGAAAATATTTTACATTCGGGTCACGCGTTTCTACCGGATAGTCTAGGAATTTGAGTTGTGCTTTAGACTCCGATGACAGATTTCACAGAGTTCTTGAAGCGTAAAAATTTTATCGCGTCTGAAATATCGTCAATCGTTTCCTTCTTTAACAGAACCCGAATTTTTCAGAATTTTTTTACGGGACATCGAAGCTGTGATATTGGTGTATAACGCATACGGCTTCTTGTATAGTTCGTCGCGGTAGTACCTAATCGTGGTTTTGCTTGAAAGGAAAATGAAAAGTAGAATGGGAAGAAATAAGAACGATCGGTCGTAATAAAAACGATATCGGAGTCCCAATAGAGAGCTTACGAGGAAATTGTCCCGACTACAAATTGCTATCGATATCATCTCTTTCTTTCCTTCGAGTCTCGCGATACTAAAGAAGTTTATTGTGTCTCGTTTCGTCTTAGTTTCTTATACCGACAGAAAGCAATTAAATCCTTGTATCTAATATTCATTTATTTTACTTCTTAAAAAATTAAATGAACGCTAAATACAAATTCCTCTGTGTTGTGTCACTTTATACCTTATTATAAAGAAAGACAAAAAATTAATATTTAAATTTTAATAATTTTTTAAAAATAAACAAGTCTAAATATCGTATTGGAATTTTCTAGGACTTGCTCTAGGAGGAGGACTTATAGTACTCGCATCAGCACTCTCCGATGCATCTTTTGAATCACCAAGATATAGCTTTTCATCCATAACAACTTCAGATGAGGATAATGGCCTACCGCAATATCAATATGGCTGGTGTTTGCAACTTTCAGGTTTGGCTCTGATCCTTGCTGAAATTGCAGCCCTCTTAACTGTGTCCGGCTATATGGCAAGATTTCCAACAGTCGAAGAAATGGTAAATATTTATTGCCCACACTTCGAACAGTCTGTGAATCCAATAAATTATTCAATAGATTACCTAAAAGATTGTCTCTTTATATAGGTTCAAGTTATGGTTCCTGGTGCTGCACGAAAGTTAAGAGAACAGCATGGATTATCATCGGAATATCTCGTAAGAACTCATCAAAAATCCCCTGGAGCTTCTCAAGCAAGAAATTTTGATCCTCCAACAAAAGGTAGCAAACCCGACTTTCTTAATAGTCATTAATAATTCCTCAAAGACTCTATAAATTTCTAATTATGGCTTTTAAAGACGTGATTTTAGGACCACAAAGTCTTGGAGAAGAGGGGACATCACTTTTATGCAAGTCTGCGCCAGATATCTGTGCATCAAACCCTCAGGCAATCAGTTATGTCGATAAAGCAGATCTTTCACACATGTTACCAGCATATCCCGATGCGCAAAATGTAGACCCCCGATTTACGTTCGTCGATAAAGCAGATCCTGGTGTTGTCGACTCACGGCTCAGTGGATTCGCTGATAAAGAAGGTCTCATGGACTCTCGAATGCTTCCCGATTCCCGGCAAAATATGATTGCGTTCACCGACAGTAAAGAGCACATTCACGGGCAAGAGCCCAGGTATGTGACCTGTTGCCAAAATGAATGTTTAGATCATTGTTCTGTTGAACCTGTGTTTGATACGAATAATGTCATGACTGTCCTCGATCCCAGGCATGTCACCTATGCTGATAACACCAAGAACGAATCTCTGCTGGATGCTCCAGTTGGATATGGTCGATATAATCACATGGCAGGACAAACAGTACCAATAACGCTGAAACATCAAAATAGTCCAACAGTTTCTGCTATTCCTACTCAACAAATGTATCAAAACTTCGGGACAATTCATTCAGGAATTCTCAGGGTATCAGAACCAGGTACTAGTTCTAGCTCCAACTCCAGTCAACGCAGTATGACCTTACAAAATCCTAAACGAAAGTCTCAGATTGCTCAGAATACCTTCAGCACCCTTGAATGTGAAAAGAGAAAACAACGAGCGCCTGGTATCGCTGGTAAAACAAGCTTTTACACTGGAAGTGCTGTATGACCACCACCACCACCACCTACCCCAAGATAACTTCGAGAGGACGAATCGACGTTGTAATTTTTCAAGCTACCTTGATCATATTATTCTCCGTCGTTTATTTATCCCCACTCGGTTACATGGGTTGGCTGGTGACAACGAAACATTGATTGATATGGTAACATAACGTCTGATTAAATAAGACTTTTGCACTGTTAAGCTATGGAGTGTAATGATAATGAAAATTGTATGTGATAACTCCTAAGTAATGATAGGAAAGATAATAAAAATAAAGTAAGGAAGCTATAACTATAAATAAAATGTAAATAAAATTTTTATCGAATGAGATTTAATAATAATACTGATAAATAATGAATTATTATGGATAATAAGGGGAATATATAGAAAGAATTGGGATAAAAAAAATTAATGAAAAAGAAATTTGTCGTTTTTATATTATGATTATGTGTCAAAATAATATTGCCGATTTTTTTTTTATTGTATGAAGAAAATTCTCTGCAAAATAATGCTCAAGATGAAGTATTCTATTTACAATAAAATAACGATAGAATTAATAGTTCGATAATAAAAAAACTATGAAGAAAAAGAAATATGTATAAAATTGAATTTGTTTGAACATTGTATGTTGTAATTAATTCCAGAACTGATTGTAAAAAAAAAAATTCAATCATTTATGTATAAATCCTGAAAAAGGACAATCCCATAATAACAATTGGATGGAATATAAAATAATGCATTAAATCAATAAATAATTTAATCTGGACATATCAGAGAGAAAACCAAACAAAAATATACAAGCTAAATAGAAATCAAAGATTCAGAATATTAAAAATCAAATATTTTCTTGTAAAAAAGGCGTATGAATGTGTGATTGTCAGTTTATTGTGTGTTATATGTGTTATACGTAATATTCTATGGGAATTCATAAATTCATACGAAAACAATAAAATTGAGAAAAATAATGTAATTTTGTTACTGAAGCTACGTTGTATCCAGTGACTCTAGAGCATAGATCACGGCCAAATCGAAATGAAACAATTAAGTTTATCAAAACAATGCATTTGAGTTTAGTAGCCAGCCATGTATTTGTAATGTAACTATTGTAGGTAAATGTAACAAAAGATTTCACTGAACAATGTCGAAAATTATTAATAAAAAACTTCTCAAAATTGTGTTCAGATACTCATTCAAATACTCCAAGCTATTCTGATACCCATCATGTACAATGAAAACAACGCAACATATATTTATTTTTGAAAAAAAATTAATCGATAATTAACGTGCACAATTTCCGATAATCAAGTTAGAACTAAATTCTGAAAAGTGAAGAAAAAAAAATATGTACGACTTACGTTTGTTGACATTTTTTTTCTCCCAGCATTTTATTCGTAGAATTCATTTACGCAATTTCAAATGTGGGCATTTATTTACATCACACAATCACTCAAAAATTATTTATTATGATAAAATGATTTTATATTTTTCTATACCACACAATAAACACAAAATTACTTCACTATCTAAAAATCGTAAATAACTTCATTTTATTTTCAAGCACATAAATATGTAAACACAAGCTTACTCCACAATCACTGATTGATTTAAAAGAATTATGGATTTCCAAATTAATTATACTAAACGGTCTAGAAGCGGGCTTCAAGAACAAGATGACTGCGCGTCGTTTACCCAAGCCGGTTAGAAGGCGAGATTTTATTTTAAAGTAAATGACTCCAATAAATGGAGTATAAATTACAAACAAAACTAAAACTACTGTAAAAATGATATATTTTGTAATTAATGAGTAATTTAATCATAGCGATAACGATAATTGTTATTTTATACGTAAAATAGGAGAAGACGCTGATTCACATGACCAACCGATCTTGCACTCCCGCCGAAACTGCAGCGGACCTGCGCGAACAACAGAGATTGCACATTGTGCTACCTTCCCCCACTTACTACAGCCAATCACAGCGCTCGTTTCAATCAACGTTGAAAGATAGCACGTCCTTATAAAACTCCCACGATTCTCCGAATTTTGAGAATTTTCTAGAGATAAATTAAGACGGAAAATTATTAAAAATACTAAAATTACATTTATTGTTGATATATATTACTAAGATATCTTTACTGGAACATAATTCCGGATTCTATAATTTTTCAATTTAGTCCAATTTTCAAAAATTGTAGATTGGAGCTCAATATAAAAAAAATTCGGAGAAATTTACGGAGCATTTATGACTTGTTTGTCTCTTACGAGCAATTACCGACAGCAGGGAAAATCTTCATCTCTAGCAGAGAGAAGACTTCTTTGTACTCTACAAGATGTCAGTATTTTTCATCTAAATGACGTGACTGTACATCAGAGAAGAGAGACTCGTACAGGTCTCTCTTCTCTGCTATATATATTCATAAAGCACTGTTTGTTTTCATTGTTTTTTGATGTTTTTTTCGTGTATTGTGAAATAAATTAGACACACACATCCTAAAAATTATATTTTTCAAATACTGGCGTTCAATTTGTATAGCTATATGCTTGAATATGTCTTCTTCAACGGTATGTAATATTTATTCAGCTTGACATATTTATGACAAACAATAACTCCATAAAAGAATAAAGTAATCTTTCCCTATTAATAGTTTTAGATTATAATAATCATTATTAGTAAAATAAAAGTTTAATTGTTTTTTTTTAGGGATGTGACACACTAAGAATTTTACGCTTACCTCCATATTTAAATGATGCAAAAAGAGATGAATTATTCAAAAAATATGGTGCTACTAATACCAAAACAATTAGAAAATCGGACAATTATACTGAAACCTTTGTTAAATTTGCATCGAAAGCAGAAGCTACAAGAGCTTTTTTGCACCTACATCAATTAGAAATTAAGGGACAATATTTATCGGTGGAATTTGCTCGAAAATCTATGGATGAATTGATTGATAATGGATTATCAACATCGAAGAGTATCAATGATAATGAAGAGACGGTTGATTCCACGCATTTCCAAGCTTTTATAAATAAATTGAATACTTGGGCTTCTGGTTACGATTTTTCACAACCACCACCTCCAAATATTATGTACAAATATCCACTACCTACTAAGACTACTTTGTTACGAATAGCAATTCAACTTTTAAAAGAACCTGCATTTTATACTCAGGTAATATTTATTACTTTCATAAGAAAAAAATATACAAAGTATCGATATTATAATAAAAGACTTCAAAATGATAGATAGTACATGGATAAAGGATTTTAATCTATCTTTTTGATTGGACTGAACATTTCTTTGTTTCAGGTTTTACATTTAATGAATAAAATGAATTTACCTCCACCGTTTGAAGAGCTTGAAGCGGAATTTCCAAGTTTAAAGGAAGCTTACGATGTAGATAATTATCAAGACATTTTCGGTAGAGTTATTAGTGATACAGAAGAGATAAAAGATGATAAATTGCCTGAAGGAGAAGATGAGGAGGAAGAGTCAGAGTTGGAATCAGATGAAGAAAGTAATGTAAAACCTGTAGAAGTAATTCCTGTCAAAAGAAAATTAAGACAATCCACAAAACGATTAAAGATTCCTAAGTTTGTTAACCCTACAAAGCATCCAATATCTGTGAATTCTACGCAAAAAGTAATTAGACCTGAAGATATGTTTGAGTCTGTCCAACGAGAAGAGATAAAAAATATGAAAATCGAATTGAAGTCAGTGGGAAAATTAATGAATCAAGAAAGTATTGACGTTAATAGAAGCAATAAAGATTTGCAGGAACCAGAAGGAGGATTTGGATTGATGTTCCCAGCTAAAAAAGATGATGAAGAAAGTAAGACTGAAGTTGAAGAAGAAAAACCGAAGGAATTTATTTCGTCAGAAGAGCTAGCTGCTAATCGAGTATCTGCAAATGGTAATATTTAATTTACAATAGTACTTTTTATTAGATAAATTTAATTCATAAAACTATTCTTTATTTTTTTTGGTCTTTCAGATCAAAGAGTGTTACCAGTATTTAAAAATTATCATCCTGGAAAACCTTCATGTCGACTGTATATTAAAAACCTAGCGAAACAAGTTGAATTGAAGGACCTTCACTACATTTATCGAAGATATGTTATTTCAAGTTTAGAGAACTCTGAGTCTCAATACGATGTCCGGTTAATGCAAGAGGGAAGGATGAAAGGGCAGGCTTTTGTTACATTTCAAAATACTGGTCAAGCCCAGCTTGCTTTGAATGAAACTAATGGGTTTATTCTGAAAGATAAACCCATGGTTGTACAGTTTGCCAAAGTCACAAAAAGTTCGTGATTCGAGGTAGGAAATGAAAATAAAATATAGCTTAATGGAGTTAGCCATTCAGGCAATGACCAACAAACTTCTTAATATGAGCATGTAAATATTGTAAATAAGTATTTTAAATATAAAATGGAACATTTAGATCTATGGAAAATTAATAAAAAACATTTATTTAGTTTTATAATTCTAGTTACTGCTATTCTGAGTAAATATAAACTTATTTTTTTCATATAAATTTATTAATGAAATGAAACAAGTTGATTTCAATATGGAATCATCTAATATTATTGATTCGATATTGTTTTGTATTTCTAATGAGATTCATAGGGTTTTACTTATAATCAATTAGTATAGAGACAAATATTAATACGTAATCAGCATCATGTTACTTGATTAAACTCCAACCTATCAACATTAATAATCTTGTCTTTCAACCATCGAATATGATCCCCCTCCTCTCCAACCAATATGCATACATACTATGTTATCGGTAATCACTGTTTACCAACAGATGTATAGCTCATAGTTTGCACAGTTTAATCAAAAAAGGCGCTGATGCGAAAACTACGGTCTATGCGTTTCCTAGATTTTCGTGGCTGTTGTTTGTTCGACATCTGTCATTATTGTGGAATGGGCAAAAAAATTCATACACAAAAAGTTTTTAAGTAAACCATATAAACTCGAATATCTTTAATTTAGAGTATAATTCAACGAGTTAGATTCTTGTGCTTGAGTTATTTATTAAAGCATCTAGAGTTATATCCAGATAGATTGTTATAACATTACAGTAAGCATGTGGGAAGCTGGATTATGCACTGTCATAATTCCCACAGTGTCAACAATGATAATTTATATGTTGACAGTTAATCTTATGAGATATTTGATGAGGGATCCTCATATATCTATAAGAGATGCATCTAAAAATCATAATTGGACTACTATCATCAGACATGATAAGGTAATTGTTCCTAGTTTGTTTATTACTTGACTCATTTGTTTACAACTCAAATTCTGATCTATTTATTCACATATCTATGTTTATTTCTCATTAAGGTAGTATGCAATAAATTGAACATTTTTAAGGAAAACTAATTTTTTTATTGATTACATTACAAATAAACACACATACATTTTTTTTACATTCAGTGTATATCAATGAGTTTTACAGAATTTTTTTTCTAGTTAACGTAATGTCATTGTATTTCTTGTGTTAAAAAATAGTTTTTACAGAAAATTTAATATATTCCATTAACGAATCAATTTTTTTATTTACAGTCATATTATTGCAGTATCTGTGAATCACTTCTATTGAATATGGCAGGTGTATTGTGTGATTCTTGTGGTGTATGTGTAGATACTGGATGCATTAAATCTGCTGATAAACAATTGAAATGTAAAGCAATAACATTGAATACTGATGGACCAATGAAGCATCACTGGATTAAGGGTACCAGTTTATTTTTTTTATTGTATGTAAATCGTAAATGATTCAAGTAAATATTTATATTTACACTTTTATGTTAACACTTATTGCGTTCATGAATTAAAATTATATACATTTCAGGAAATTTACCCATCGCTGCCATGTGTGATGTTTGTGATGAAGAATGTGATGCTGAACCTGGACTCAATGACTGGTTTTGTTGCTGGTGTCAAAGATGTACCCATGAACTTTGTAAATCTAAATTAAATGAAGTAAGTTATCACAAAAAAAGAAATATGATTCGAGAGTTATATAAATAATTTTAAAGGAAATAAAATTGTTTATAATATTAATATAAATAATACAGGTAATTATAATTGCAGATCTGTGACTTTGGAAAGTTTAAGCTGATGATTATACCACCTGGAAGTTTAGAAGTTGTGAATAGACGCAGTACTGTGCGTAAGAGATTACAGCTTCGATCAATTATACCTCCTGTTTGGGATGAGTGGAAACCTCTTATAGTAGTAGGTTGGTATTACATGGAGAAATAAACTTAGTATTGATGGAAATTTTTATATCATATTCTTACATTTTATTCAATTTTTCGTTTTCAAGATTCTGAACTATTTTTGATTTTATTTGATCCTTATGTAAATTGGTTAATGTATTCTGTGATAAATATTTTATCAGCAGAAAGATAAATTAGATAGGTATATTATTTCAATATTCCAAAGTTAGAATATTAATATTTTATATCATCTGAAAAAAGATGAATAAACAAGCCAATAATATAGTAACAATTTAATCAATAAAAGGTAAATTATTCGGCATTTGTAGTAATACAGCATCACTTGATTTAATCAATCAGTATGAACTATTATAGTTCATCGATAAAATATTAAAATACATTTTATGAATTGAAGTTAAGTTACGTTATTTTCATGAACCGTTCAATTGATTTAAATCTTGCTTTATTTAGTTTATTTTATTATTCATTAATAATTATTTTTAAAATAACTTTTAAATTGTATTGATAATGAAGAGTGATCTGATCTACTTCTAAATTTAATCTTTTACTTTCAGCTAACAAGAAGTCAGGCAATAATGATGGTGCTATCGTGCTTTCAATGTTTCGTCGATTATTAAATCCGGCTCAAGTTGTAGATCTGTCTGAACGTGATCCTGTTGCTGCTCTAGAATGGTGTCGGTTGTTGGGTGACAAGCCTTGTAGTATTTTAGTTGCTGGAGGTGATGGAACTGTAGCTTGGTTATTGAACTCGATTCATAAACTTCACTTGAAGGTTGGAATCAATTACTTTTGACTCATTTGTTATTGAACATTCAAAATAAATAAGAGGAATATTGCTACCATAAAATATCCAAAATTTATTACAATTAATCCATTCGTTTTTAAAAATAGCCAGTGCCAGCTGTCGCAATTTTGCCTTTAGGCACGGGCAATGATTTATCCCGCGTTTTAGGCTGGGGTAAAGAATATAATGCGGATGTGGATCCTACTAGGATTTTGTATCAAATTCAAAAGGCTCATTCAGTCAAACTGGACAGGTGAATAATACTTTTTATCTCTAATTTTTTTTATTCCATCTTTTTCTATTCAAATTATCATTTATTATCCAACAAAACAATTATTTAGATGGACAGTCACTTCAGCATATGACGGGCGAGGTCTGGGGTTTAGGGGCTCACAGGAGCGAAAGTTTATGTACAATTATATGGGTGTAGGTGTTGATGCTCAGGTAGCTTTAAATTTTCATCGGACAAGAGAAAGCGGCTTCTATTTATTCAACCGTAGAATATTTAACAAGGTAAATACAATAGAATGATAAAAATAGACATCTCTTTAGCTAAGATAAAATTTCCTCTCCGGACTAGCTAATTTAAAAGTTATTTGATAATTTGATGTGTACTATAAAATCCTTATTTGTGTGTTTTTGGTTTAGTTACTTTAAATTATTATTATTTTTTAAATTACATGTTACTAAGAGTAATAAAATAATGGTGAATATCACTGTTTCAGATATTATACTTATGTTTTGGAACTCAGCAAGTGGTAGAACGAGAGTGTAAAGACCTGGATAAACGCATAGAAGTTTACTTAGATGGAAAACGAGCTGAATTACCCTCATCAGAGGGTGTAGTTATTTTGAACATTCCGTGCTGGGGTGCTGGAGTCAAGCTTTGGGAATTAGGACTTCAAGGTAAGCGAAAATTGTTTATAAAATATTTTATCATTGTAATTTGTTCAAATACACATCGTTGGAATTGAAATAAAAATAAATATTAATTTTGTTGTGGGAGATAGTTGATATGACGTTTTTTTCCAATTTCTCTAGTTTTTTGGCAATTTTTACGCATGAAAAATTCATATGTATTTTCTAAAATCTAAATGTTCGTGAAACAATTTTGTTGGTTTAAAAAATATTCTGGTCAATGGTTATTTCGAGCAATAAAAAATAATAGATAACAATCTAAAGCTTTTTTCTCTAAAGGGGAATTTATTAGTTGATCTGGTAATTTATTGTTTCACTCCTAGCAACAAAAACTAATAACTTTTATTGTAAATTTCTATTGTTTAAAAAATAGAAAAAATTTTCATTATTTGAATTCCTGAAAAATTACGATATTGATAATTTAAATAATTTCCTCCAATGAATTCTTGCATAATATTATTTTAATCAATTTGAGGTAAAAATATAAAAGTACGTTCAGATGTTAAAGATAGCAAGTAATTATTTGCCAAAGAATCAAATGTTCAAGTCAAATGCGACACATGGCAGTTTCTCATCTCTCCAACAAAAGTATCAAATCTGCAAAATTTTACATTTTCTGAGTCAGCTTTTTGTCCGATCATTCCGCTGATTTGTCACTAATCGATTTTCTTAAGAAAGTAATATTCATGAGCATTGCTTCAAATGAGATTCTTCAACTTAAAGAACCTGTAAATATATTAAACCATTATTTGAACAGAAACTATTCAATTACTCACAAAACGATGATTTGTAATGAATCTTTCGTAATATATTTTAAAAGCCTTACTAATTTAATGGTATACTTTACATGAAACACAACCGTAGCATTTTACGTAGGGTATTATTAAAATAATTATAACAATAACTATATTTTACATTGTTCAATGATATTGTATATCATTATAATGTATACAATAATTGAAGAATTCACGACAGGTAATGACGGTGTCGGTTTTCAAAGTATAAACGATGGTAAACTGGAAGTCTGTGCATTGTATTCATCATTCCACATAGCTCAGTTGCAAGTTGGACTATCGCAACCCCATCGTTTAGGCCAAGCCAAAACAGTCAAGGTAATGAAATAAAATGTAAATTACTGTGATAAATAATTTATGTATTATTAAGATTTAATTGTAACCCATCAAATTTATCCACCACATACATAATTCATAAATTTATTATCAACAGATAAAATTATTAGACTCTTGCGCAGTACAAATCGATGGTGAACCTTGGTATCAAAGTCCCTGTGAGTTTACCATAACTCACTGCAATCAAGCATCAATGTTGATGTCGACGCATCAATAATTATTTTCGAATTTCTAAAATCAGTACAATCCATTACATCTTTTGTTTATTGATTAATAACAGCGGTAATACGATTTAGTTATTTATTAATAAAAATATACAAATCTAGTCCTTATTATACAAATCTACATTCAAAAATACTTCATTATTTTTACAGTATTTTATTTTAATTTTAAATAGTTAAGTGTTTGTTATAAAATTTATGGTTAAGAATGAAATATTTTTATCCGACTCAGATATATCAATCTAAAAATTATAAATAAACAACCAAGTAAATGAAATTTATTATTATAAAAATTTACAAAGACTTTTGTGATAAATTATTACATATGCTATTCTAGAGCACTATAGAATATTATATCTATGAGAACATTCTATATTTATCATTCCTTTTTCTTAGTATGAATTATTGTAAGAAACCAACTTAGTATTACTTTTAACATAATAATGGATAATATATGTTATTTTTATCTCAATAAAAAATTAATTTTATAATTTAATATAAGTTACATCATTTATTTGTACTCTTTACATAACTACAATAGGATCCTAAATGCGTGAGTTTCTTGTATTTTTATGATTCAACACACATATGAGACCGTATAGTTTAGAAAAAATTGAGCTAATTTGTAAATGAATAATAACTATACAAGAAAATCAAATTTTTTATATTAATGAAGAATATAAAATAGGAAGAAAGTATTTGTTCAAAGAAAACAAATATGAATTTCATTAACTTTAACTAAACAAAAGTAAAAAATTGATGATATAAAACATTTTTAGTGACATTTTACAAATGGAACCGATGCAATATTTATCATAACTCAGCAGTGATAAAAAATATTTAAATCCAAGTAGACTTTTATTCGAATGTATAAGGTGTAAGATTGATTAATCATCAAATATAAATAACATAATAATTTGTCTTATCATCAGCAAAAAATATTGGACAAAAATTAATGGTGAGTTGATTAGTTTGAACAAAGAAAGGTAAAAAATAAATGATGAGAATTTTTTGTAAGTGACGTTTGACAATTTTTGCAAATGGACTTTTTATGATTTATTTATGATAATTGAACTCAAGTACAAATCTCGTGTGCATCTAGATATGTCCTGAGGATATCCTTTGACGCGTTTATACATATGATGTGTCACATGGGAATGTCTTCTTGTTTGCTCTCGCTCCATTTGCGCAATCGATTGGTGCTTCCATACTCACGATTCAACCCCCGTGCTATGCTGACTGTCGTGTACACCAACGATTATTAATCGACGGATTATCAATGCCACATCTCTCTTCGCTGATTGACTGTCTGTACACGTATGGTGTACAAGTTTTCATGACGAATCAAAGAGACACCAAACGAGAGAGGGGAAGGAAGAGAAGAGCAGAACATAACATAATCAAAATGAACTCGTGAATAATTTAAAAGCTTTCCTTTCGAAAATTAAAACCAAATTGATCGCATTTAAAACGTAGAATTCTTCCTAGTTGGGGTGGACCACAATAAAAAACTGTTATTTTTCCCTTCTTCTTGTCTTGAAGCTGTTTAAACACTTTGTCCCAGTTTGGCCTTCCGGCGTTTGTTCTTGTCTTCAGACCTGTTATCAAATCTCTCTTTTCCTGAGTAAACAAAAAAAAATTATTAATTTTTTAAAACTATAAAACAGCCAAAGATATATATTTTTTCAAGAAACAACATTGTTTTGTTGAAAGAAAAAGTGTTTCACAAAAGACTTTTTAAATTGGAACTATCAATAGAAATTGGTGGATTTTAAGATTTAAGTTTCAGTAACAGTTTAGAAAATTTTTGGAATAAAATTCTCTTTTTCTTTAAGTTCTTAACATGCTATTGTCATCTAGTACAATCAGTGAAATAGAACAAAGCAAGCTTTATTTACTTAGTGTACGTGCTAAAAAAATATCCATTTAGTGAATGCATGTTTTGTTAATCCCTTTTTTAATAATTACTTGAAAGAGTATTTTAGAAGTATTCCAAAAATTTTGAATAGACTTCTTTTTTCTGTAAAATTTTTCTTCCGTTTAAAAATCGTTCTTTCTGTTAGGAAAAAGAAAAAACAATTACCTTTTCATGAAGAAGATCCATAGCAAGCTGAAGTCCCACAGCTTTCATATCATTCTTCTGGAGTGCACTTGTGATATACATATGCATCTCAAGGAATCTCTCCATTGTGGTACCAAGCTCAGCTTGTTCCATCTCTAATTGTGACAAAAGATTAACAAACCATTCGAATGACTGTTGATCTCGGTTGATCCAGAAAAAATCAACCTTTCGCAAGTTCATGACTGTAATGGGTATGTCACTTGCCCACTGAAATTGACAATTTGGACAAGTGTGTCGTGCCTTCCAATATCTATGCATTATTGATTGCAAGATTGACGCGAAAGGTGTGACTCCAATTCCGGTGGCGATTAAGACAGCGTGTTGTGCTTGAAAGATGTGACTGGATGGTGCTCCATATGGACCATCTAGAAATATCTAGAACATGGAAAAATATTCAATGGAAAAAACTTGTCGATGATACAAATCATTCTTATTCTTATAATATTAGTGCATCACTGATCATTTCATTGAATCAATTTATTGGCAATGTTTAATAGATTTTTAATATCACTGGTATCGAGTATAAATATAACTTATTGAGGGAATTTTTGCTCTAATTGAATTAAAGTCTTTATAATATAAAATTGAATAAAGATTGAATGATTACATTGGATTTAAAATTAATTTTTAAGGTATTCGAAAAGTACCTCAAGTGGTTTTCCGATAGGATAGTTTATTGGAGCATGAGTAGATGATTGATTTTCTATAAATGAATTATTATTTTTTTGTTCAATTGGTGTAATTTTATTTTCTACTCTTCCTTCCTCAGCTGCAATAGTAGCTAGGGTTGTAGATAGTACAATTTGTCTAGCTTCATTTTGTTGAGCTGAAATTAGAAAAAATCAATAAATGCAAAAAATATCAATGAATAGAAATTCTATAATCAACATTTTTTAATCAATATTTTTTGAATAGTTAAAAAAAAAAACGAATATGTTATTATTCATAATAAAATAAAATTCTAATCCAAAAAATCGATTTATAAAATCTCATTTTTCTTTGATTTCAACAAAATAATCTCGTTATAGACAATTTTCACAAATATTAAAAAGAAAATTGAGCTTTGTATGCCCACATACATGATAGGGTCAATTTTTTTTTTATTTTACCATAATTCTTTTATAAGACAGTTTTATTATTATCGCATTCATTCTGCAGGTACAAGATTTGTGCATTGAGATATTATTTTTTGAACGTATTTTTAGATAGTCGACAGAATTTATTGTTTATTTAACGAAACATAATAAACATTTTTTTATCAAGAATTTCTTTCACCTTTGATATAAAATTTTTTTTATTAAGTTATTGTCACAAAAATCTTTTAATGAAAAACGAAGAGACATACGAATGTATAAATGGAAATATTTTGAAAAACGTCTAAAAAAAAAGTTGAAATTGCTAAAAGCGACATTATTGATATTTGTAGCTCTAAATAGAAGATATACAAAGAAGATTGAAAAAAACATCATAATCACATCTGTCTATTCGTCATTCTATTTGTCAATTTTATTTTTTTACATAAGAACGATTGAAAAACATTGAATGTACTTTTAGTACATTTATGTCTATATTTCATGGTTTTTCTCTATGTCAGTGATAAAATAATCAAGTTAAAAATAATTATTTGAAGCTACTGAAGGGAAATTGTTTGTTAGAATAGAAACAGCTTCCATTTATGTGCATTTTTATAACTTATTAAAATACAAATTCATATAAGATTAAGACCTTAATTATTAATAATAAATGATCTTACTTGAAATAAATTATTCTCAGCGGAAACAGGTAATAGATTTTAAGTATTGAAAATGTGTGTGGTCATGAAAAAATATTTACAATCAATTCATGTATTTAGGCTGCATTATATGCTATTTTTCTATGTGTATAAAAAAAACATGCGTGTATTCATTGAATAAAATTAAATGGTGATAAGAAAAGAGAATTTTATGAGATAAGCTACATTTATACAGTAGACTTCACCATCTACAGAACACAGAGTTATCAAAAATTTATTTTCCAGAAACTCGAGGAAGAATAATTAATAATTTAGATGTTAGACGTTGAGATGTTGAATGCATAGATAAATTGAAATGCAAAGAAATTATTAATATTCTATTTTGCTTTCTATTCTGTCTCGCCTTTCTCGATACATAACGCAATAATTTACACTTGACAAGTTGTCAGCTGTAAACGAATTACTATATAATTATTTAGCCAAGGGAATTATCAACATTGGAAATTGCTAATTAACTAGTTAATTCTGAAAATGACGCAAAGTACTGACAATGATAAACATGAGTTTGATTATTTAGTTAAATATTATCTAAATAGTTGAATGTAGCCTTACCTGACGTATCAGTGGGGATTTCGCGTTTACAATCCTCCAGACTCGGTGTCTTAAAAGCTATAATAGTAGGTTTTGTTCTCATATATCTAAAACTCTGTGCAAGTGATTTGTTCTGCGGGCTGAGGTAAGCTAAACCTAGAGACTTGTGTCGGGCTCGTCGAATTTTAGTTTTATCAAAGCTTCTCTCTGACTCGGATCTCATGTAATCTCTTAGTCTGCAATGATAAAAAAAACCCATTATGTAAGCATCCTAATTTACTATCTTTGAATAAACAAAGAAAATTTTTTTCCATTTTTAACTCTCATAGTTTTGTTTATTTTTTTACGGTTTATCATTAAGCTTTTCACCAGGTCATTCACATTTACCAATTATCAAATTTCCAATAATCTTCTGTTAGTCGGCTTACACTAAATGAATGATGTTTGGATTTTTTTAATAGAAAGAGCTTACTGTGAATCTATTTCTTTGGTAATGTACATCAATGAGAAATTTTTCAAACTTTACAGTAATTTTTTCAAATTAAATTTTTAATCAACGTAGTTACCCATCATTGAATAATGTAATTGGTAAAAATATTTTTCAAATAAAAAATATAAAAATTTAATATTAAAATTTAAAAATTATACATATAGCAATCGAGAAAGTATACAAAAAAATATTATGATTTTAAATAATCTATGTTATTTAAAGAGATAATAACTCTATACGATTATTTACTTGTTCGATAGTAATTATCAGTGAGAAACATATTTCTCTGAAGTATGAAATAATATTGAATGCAGCTTTCGAATAAATATGACCTCAACGAGATAGACAGCCAGGATTTTTTGATTGATTCCTTTTATTTTTATCCCGAAATTTTCTATGAGCTGCTTACAAAAGAGATCTACAATATGTAATCAATGAAATTGAATATTCTACAATATTTTAAACTAAAAAAATGTACAATAGTGGCATCGTTATGGAATTTACCAATTTCTTTGGTTTGCGTATACGAGAGGATCATTCCAATCATGGCAATATGAAATTTGATATTACTCATACTTAGTTTTAAATTTTAATTTTAAAATAGACCTTGTTACAAATATACAACTGAATGAAACTGGCCGGGCGCCCGTAATTGAGCTAAAGTTTTAATGAGGTTTGGTCAGGTTGCTTGATTTAATCAACGTTTGTTTATTTAAACTCACGCCATCAGTCGTTCTCTCTTCTTGCGCTTAGTCTGCATGTCCGGCATTGAAAATGACTTTTCAAGCGGTATTTTACTGTTAAGAAGTAGCTGTCTCAGCTTTCTGTCTTGTAGAGATCGACCCAATTCACATCCATTTGAATCTGCAATTGTCGAGTATTGGATATGTACAATTCTTTCGTAAAACCTCTCCATCGATAAAATTATATTTAATATAATGTTGTCAAAGTTTCAAAGTTACGATAGATATTTGCTATGGAATGATATCATCGTGTGTAAAGTGATTTCAATTTTCCTTCTTACTTTCTGGAGTTGAAAGAAAAGTCGTGGGTGTATTGGTACTTGGACTGGACGTTGTCTTGTCACTGTCTGGAATGAAACGAGGGTTATCCAAGCCCCGAGAATCCTCGAGAGAATCGTTTGATATCTTTTTCTCTATTGTTATAGACGTTGATTTTGGCATTCTAAAATTTCAGAAAAAAATTACTCTACAGTAAAACGTCTTTTTCATTTAGTAAATAAACTTAATAAAAATCCAATAATTTTTATAGTCAACAAACTGTAGGAAATTATAGAAAGATTTTATTTTAATTTTAAACTTTTCCAGTAGATCCAGAATTGAAGCTGGATATATTTTTTTTTAAAATATACAGCTTAAATAAATGATAATAAAATCTAGAGCAATATTATTTTTTATAGATAAAATAATAAGGAATATTTTATGAAAATTATGATAAAGAGTTGATTATTCAACAGAGATTTAATATTAAATAGAACTTATTTTAAATTAAAACTAAAAAATTTTTATAGAAATATCATTATAGAAAATGAATATTTTATATTTATATGTTTTTCATATCTTTTAAAGTATGTTTGTGTTTCAATGCATGCATTAAAAGTAATGTGAAATGTAAAAAAGTATAAAAATAATAAAATTACTGACGAAAGTGTATTCTGCATTTGTGATTCACATCCCTTTACGATTATTACGTCGCCTTGTTCAAGTTTTTCCTGTTCCTTCTCGAAGTATGCATACAAACTATTGGTCCATTCTCCAACAGCTCTGATATGCAGCCACATATATTCTGAAACACAAAGATGTTAAATATTTTAGAACACCGGCGTATTGAGTTTTCTAAAACAAGAATCGGATGCATATGGTTCTATCGCGGAATATTAAGAGAAAACATAAATAAAAATATTATCGAATCTTTAGAAGTAGAGATGCTAGATACAATAATAATCAAAGTTATTTCACTAATGTGCACAAGTTTATTTCGTTTATCAACTCAATAAAACCAATATCTTTTAAAGCTGCTTTGTTAGAAAATAAAAAATTAATTGAATTGAAAACAATTACTTCTTTTATTTCTTCATCTCTTTTGATGATTAATATTTTTTTTTTTAATGTCAAAATAAAATATAATTGTTATGTTCCTTATATATTTTTATTTTTACTCAAGTAATTTATAACTTTATCGTTGGATTATCACTAATTTGAAAGCATGCTTGTTTATTTTTTATTTATTTACAAAAGTTGGTAAAACAATATTTGTTATCGACAATCTTTTTTGTTTGATGACACCACAGGTATTCTTTATTGATTGTAAATATATTTTGAAAGTTAATCAGTACAACGAGTTATAATTAGCAATCGATGAGTTTGAAGTAGGAAACAATAATTAATTTATCGTACATATAGTAAATAAATAAAATGTACTAATAAACCTATTTTTTATGAGTGCTATAAATTCTGGTAACAAACATTGTTAACTCGAACTTTTTGACTCTTTTTTAATTATTCACAATCAAGTTTTGTCAACAGCTGTAAATAATTGCTCTCAGATTAAAAAGGTCAGTGATTTGGAGTTTATTTCAGGAAAAGTATTAAAGCAATTTAATCAATAAATCCTATTTTTATGACAACCATAAAATTTGGATTTTCATAAGTATTATTAGTTTAAAGATGTTAATTTATTTCGTGTTTGTTTAAAATAAAAAAATTATCATTGTTGACAATTAATCGATATTCAATGAAAGAGATTATTCCAATCTGTAAATGCAATTTATTTTTCCATTTGTTTATAATGAAAATTCATTGTTGGAGAATAATTACATAGAGATTAAAAACATGTAATTCACATTTTTCTAAGTTTTATTTTTATCAATTAATGAATTCAAAAAAAAAAAACTCCAATTTTTAATATAACGTACTTTAATAAAATATAATCTTTAGAAATAAAACTGAAAATCATTGAAAATCACTGCTGCATATTTTTAGAGAGTAAAATAAAATTTTAAACTTGTTCTTTGTAAATGAATTTAATAATACAAATTTTTAATAAATGAATGATAGTTTTAAATTAAAAATGGAGCAGCTTTGAATATAATAGAAAAAAGTTGGCCAACAAATTTATTTTTTATGATGTTTATAAACTCTGTATTCTAACAAGCATTGTTAAGTCTGACTTTTTTAATTCGTTGCACAAGAACTTCTCGATTTTCTTTCAGCGTCAGAAAAAGAAATCTTAACACCTGCCGGCTGCTTGAGGATGTACGTTTTCAATCCGCTCGGGGTAAAAGTTCGGCATCTCTTTCCACTGGAGAAGTTGGGAGTTGTAAGGAGGGAACTTTTAAAGTGGCATCGCAAGGGCTTTGTGCCCGAGATCCACAAGGGTAGAGAACGACGCGGATGAAGTAGAAGATAGAAAAAAGTAGAAAAGGAAAATAAAAGGATGAAAAACAGAGAAAACTTACCCTCTTGCTCTGGTGCACTGCTGATAGTAAATGGATGCCACTCGTACTTTGCAATAACTGGTATATTGACAAAAACGTAGTCACCAGGTCGGAAATCTAAATGTTCAGGTCGTTTAATTACCAGGTGAGTCACTCGAGATGGTAGAAGGAGACCAGAACTTATGTACGTTTTCCCACGCTGTGACCGGAGCCACATCAAACGTCGTACCCGTTCGATGATGTAAATTGTACCGGGTAAGACAAACCATTTCCAGAAATTTGGTCCGTGGAATATCATTAGAATCCAGAAGGGAATATACAGCAAATGAGACCAGTAGAATATCTATTCAAATAATATTTCATTGCTTTAATTAAAATAGAATTCTATAATGAATTGTTATGATGCCTTTTTTACAGTAATTACTCTTTCATTCTAATTGTTTCCTCATTTAATTGATTTTCAAATTTTGATTCCATTCTTGTCGTCAATAGGTGGACATATTGTAATTAACTGTGGCAATAAATTTTTCATTGCACGTTTAAAAATTTAATCAGAATATTTGTCTTTCTATTGCATTCTAATTGATGAATAAATATATTTACCGAATAATTTATCAATTAATTTTGATAAACATAAATCTTAATTAATTATCTATAACTAATGAGCACAATTTTGTTAAATCTTCTTTCTCAGCATTTTAAAATTTCTGAAAGAATTTACTAAAGTTTCTCGGTAACTAATGAGTTCAGAGAATTGTTTGAAGGTTATTTAAAACCATTAAAAGCAAAGTAAAAAATTACTATAAAAAATTTAATATGTACAAAATGATGACCAAAATCTTAGCATTGTCTGCATATTTTCTTTCATAAAAGTCAGCAGTGCATTTAACATTATAAGATATAATTACTGTTTAAAAATATTGCTCTCCATGAAAGGAGCCTGATTCACTATGAATAAAAGTTTAATTGCCATGGCAATTAATTATGACAGAATAATCTCTCCTACTGGTGGTCAATCTGTTATTGATGATTTCAGCTTTTGATTAGTCTCTGATTCTATAAACGACAATATAGATTTCTGCGGCTATAGGCTTTAATATCAATATTATCAGAACAGTATAATAAGTGGTTATTATCACTACTAAAAGTTATTGGTGTTCTAGTTTTAGAATTATAATAGATAATAGAATAAAAATTGACTGATTAATGCTTGACTTAAAATTCAAATACATAAATTTAGTTGTTTTAGAACTAAAAAGCTATCTTTAAATTTGAATCACATGAGATGCAACTTGGTAATTTCAATTATTTGATTGGATATAATAATAGATGAGATGTAAATTACATTAGCTATAGTAATCCTTTCCTCCGTATACTCTTATCAATTACTGGTTTGCTGTTGCTATTGGTGATAATCCTAATGTTCATCATGACTATTGATATTCCAACTGTTAGAAGTACATAATTAGAATGAGATGTTGATTACCTCAAAACATCCTCCGCGTCGAACAAAGGGCATTGAACACGTAGCCATAACAAACAGAATGATGATCAAGGCAACACCCGTTGGGTTAGCTCCACCACTCACAAGACCAAAGAGTTTTGGTTTACTAGTCAAAAGCCACTCTGACATGGTATAGTGTGAGCTGTTTAATACTTCATCGTTGATCACGACCATACCTAGTGGTAAATGAGAACAGAAGTATAAATTGTACATTATTCTCTTTGGTTTCATCTCACGTAAAATAATCAGGATGTTTTACCAAAGTTCAAGAGATGCGCAATCGTATGGACGAGTGATAGAATACCAATCGTCACTCCAACCACTTTGTGTAAGTAGATGTGATGGTCCAGAGGTAAAATTGAATTAAATCCGTGCGTTCGCAGAAAAGTTATGCACTGACGAAGCATCAGAATGAGGATAAATGTGCAATCGAAATTTAAACATTGTCCTGAAATCATTTTTTTTTATTCATTTTTATCTAACTTTAGATGCTTTTATGGTAATAAGAAATTTATACGGTCATAGCTAAAATTATCTCAATTATTTCAGACACTCTTATATAAAGCTGCCAATACAAAATATTTACGGAATTTCCGAGATATTTTCAGAGCTAAAAAATCTGTAGGTGATCAAAGTGTTGTTTATATATACACATGGCTTTAAGTAATCAATAATTTGCTTCAAAGAAGAATTTATTGGAAATTTCATGTATTTATCCTTTAAAAAATTTTGCCAATTTGTCGAAATATAAAATAACTCTAAATCATTTTAAAGACAAGATGATTTTCAATTAAAAAATTTACCGACAAAAACTAATTAAGGTGAACAAGACTGAACGTTGTTTAATTTCTTTTAAAAAGATTTATCTTACCACATGCTCGAGCCACAATTGTAAATCCATTAGCATGCCGATATTGATAAATTCTTGTGACAAACAGAAGAAAGTTGATAAAGATGAAGCCCAAAAAGAAAGTAATGAACACATAATTATTTTTTAAATATGGTTTCGTCAATTGATATGGTCTAAGTGAACTCAGGAATCCTAGAGGAGATCGTGGAGATTGTTCAGGCTTGGCAGGTACTAACCATCGATCTATACTGAAAGAAAATTCATTTTATTCACACCGCGTTCTGTGTCTCCTACTGTTCTATGTTCCAGTTAATACACATATATCTTTGTTTAATATGTTTCAACTTTACTGAATTGAATTACGCATATAAATTATGGAAAAATTATGGTAATCCGATTGTGCAGATTAGAATTGTGATCCACGATTAAATGTGTAATCCAGATGGGAAAGTCAAGCGTATCAAATGATATTCTCTTTCCAATAATAAAGTTTTCATATTGTAGGAAATTAATCGATAATAGTGAGACACAAATTATTGTATCAACTTACCTGATTGATAGATTCTCCAAGAGACCTTCATGTTTCTCCAGTTGCTTCTTCAAGGCTTCAAATGTTATAGCTCCTCTATTTTCTTGATCAGCTTCTTCACACAAAGCAAGAGTCAAATCTTCAATCTGTTCATCACTAAATTTCATTCCATTTTCCTCCATGCAGGCTCTCATCACATGTTCCAACTCTCGATATTGAATCAGTCCATCGCCTTTTTCAAATAAAATTTTATAGACATACATTACTTTGGTAGTATACAGTCATAGCCAAAATTAGTTGTACAACTTTAAGCACTCGCATTAAGTGAATGGCTCATCTTAAAAACTTTTCCCACGAGAGTTTAGAAATGTTAAAAGTATGATCTCCAATTGGCATTATTTCCTTCAGTTTGTGAGTGTGTCTTTTATGATTGCAGCCAACTTATTCAAGCCATTTACAATTTCCTAAACCTTTCTTTTTTTTACCAACTTTTTGTTTCATAAAAAATTATCATTCGAAGCAGAAGTGAATTATATTCTTTTTAACTCACTAAATGTGCTCAGAGAATAAGATTGATTATTACTAATTGTTTGTTTGAAACACAAAAAAAATTATTAAAAGTTCATATCAATTGAACAAAAAATATATATATGCTTCAATAATTGTAAATGGAATATTTTTATATTCCAGTTAAATAATTATTAACAAAAAATTTTTATGTAGAAAATATTTGTCAATTTTACCAACAATCAAATTTATTGTGCAGAAAAATGCTTTTTTTAAATATTTAATTTATTGTATTGAAAGAATGCTTTTAGAACCTTTTTTTAAAAAAAAAAACAAACATTACTGAAATAGATTGTTTTTAATCCTATGTTATGCAATTGAAATATTCATTAATATGATGTAAAAACTAGAACCAGAAAAATTTAATGGATGATTTCATCAAACACACAGGTAGAAGTTTTTTTTGAAACTTTTTCCAATCCAATATAAGCAAGTGAAATTTATCTATTTCAAATCCATTGATTACTCATTCATAAATGATTTTATCGGTTTTTAATTTTTAAAAAAAAATCATTTCAATTAGGCATATATTAAATAATAATAAATATTTTTTTATTTCATGTAGATACTTCTATCAGTGTATCAGACAGAATATCACATTTTTCAACAAAAAATCAAATTGAAATATTTTTGAGTTGCACTGTATCTCTTTGGTAATATCATTCCGACGATAAATAAATAAATAAATAAATAGACAGCACACTGCTAAATCTCACCATCTATATCGTAGACCTTGAAGAGAAATCGAATCTTGTCGTTTGGAGTTTTCCCAGCGAATTGATGCATCGCGTCAAGAAACTCTTGGAGAGATATTGTACCCGAGTTGTCCTTGTCAAATATCTGGAATACTCTCTCCGTGAAGAAAGGCTGTAACGTGGATAAAAATGTGCCAGGCTTTATTCAAGATTGTTGTTTTCCTGAAGCGAGGGCAAAGCGTGCCTTTAAGATAAGCGAAAATTTACTGCCTCACGTTCTTCGATATAACGATTTTCTTGAATTCCTCCCGACGTATTTCTCGTTCATTTCCAACTGTCTGCTTGAAGATCTTCTCCAGCCATTCCAAACTACTTTTATCGAATCCTGCTGGTGATCTTTGATATCATATCAACACATCACCAAAGCCCAATTCAAGAAAAAAATTCATAAACATATAAAAATGTGTTAAAAAGAAAATAAGAAAATAAAAGATATTTTTTTTTCATACCGTGGATTACTTATTGCTACTAAAAACTCCATTATTTGTGATGGTGAAATGTAGCCTGTATTTTCTTGGTCGATTAATCGAAATAACTTGTCGATAACCTGAAAATACCAATTTAATATTAAATTTTTTCAATGACTATTCATATTTTTAATTGAAATTTTATTTTTATCAATTTTTGTATGTGTGAATATACTCACCCCTTTGGCGAAAATAATTTTTTTAAAAGCAATTAAATCCACTGGCTCATCTTCACACAGTACATAAGCAACACTTTCTATCTGGTCAATGAAGTCTGTTTGTTTGTCACTTCTGGTGAGTAAACCGAAAGTGAAAAAAAAAAAAATAAAAAGATGTGGGAAGAGGTAGAATGGATTTTTGACGTGATAGTCGCACGAATGTACGTGACGACGATAAATCCGCACACTTGGTGGAATGAACAGACAAGATAGGAAGAGAGACAGAGGGATATAAAATGGTGTAAAATTTTCATGGCCAAAAAAAAAAAAAAAAAGTACTCACGTCAGTCGGGCTTTGAGGAATTCAATCCAGTCATCTTGTTTGAGCAGACCATCCCTGTCTTGATCAAAGAGTATAAACAATTTTCCCAGGAGTACCTAAAAGTTGATACGTAAAGCAGTTGGCTTTGAGTTGTGAATCATCGCTGCTCTAGATCCTCCAACTCTGACATGCGTTGGTACGAACTGCTTCGTACGATTTACGACACGGACAGATTCTTGGAAAAGTTACTACATTCCTTGTGAAGACGTTTTGCGTTACTAAATCATTCATAAAATTTTTTCTTGTGGAATTTATTGGCTTCTTTCATTTCATTTCCATCTTTCCATACAATACACATACGATGTATTTTTAAAGAACATACACGCCTTTTTACAACATGGCTTTCCATATTGATTTATCGGATTCTACGGATTTATTTGGATGAATTATACAACAGTAATGGAAATTTATTCCAGTCCTAAACAATTATTAAAAGGTAAACATTTGAAAAGTGTTGCTAATCAAATTTGAAAACAGATAAAAAGTAATAATGGAATTTTTTTGTGTTTGGAGGTTTGGTTTTTGTGAGAAGTTTGGAATATAATAAGGAATACAATTATTAAGTATTCTTGTTTGTATTGTGATTCGAAGTAGCAAAACTTTATTGGAAAGCAGTGAAATAAAAGAAACTATTTAAAAAAGATCAAACTTTTGATGGTGATTCTAAACTATATCTTGATAAAAGTTTTATGAAAATTTTTGAAATGAAAAAGGATTATTTTAAACATGTATTCAGTTTGCATGAAAGTACGACCCGTAGTATATTTTAAATATCTATCATTTATACAAAATGTATTAACATGTGCTATGATGGATATATTCTCAACCCCATTCGTGCTTGTACCGTTGAATTAATCAGACTTGGGAATTGCATTTATTTGTAATGCATCAAAAGATGCTCTTTAAAATATATACAGTTTTTACGGATAATATTTTTTGAATATATATCCTTTCGTATGTGTTATTTTTACATTAAATAAAAAATATTTAGATTTGTTGTAATAAATAATCTGATGGAAAATTTTTTAGATAATATTAAAGTGGAACGTACGAAGTGATATTTATTATTACTGATGAAAATAGTTCAGTTGGAGAATATACTTTAATATTGGATTGATGTAATTAATATTGAAGGAGTTTTTTCGTAGTTTCGATGTTGATATATTAATCTTCCAATTACGTTAAGTACAAAATTTTGTTTTATTTAAAATTAATTTTTATTTTAGTTGAGTTCTAAATTCTGTGAAACTTAAAAGACTTCTAACATTTTTGAAGGAGAAATTTTAAAATGGTACTATTTTTACTGAAATTATCGGAAATAATTTATTAAGAAAGCATTTCAGAGCTCCAATTTTCACGTAATTAATTTTTTATCTTTAAAATAAAGTATCGTTGATTGTTTTACAACTAAATGATAAAGAGGAATATTTTATTTTAAATTTATTCTTTGAAAGTTTTTGTTAAAAAATTTTTATCTATATATATTTTTAGCTGAGTTATGAGCCTGTCAAAGACAAAAAGTTTCTTTTGACTTTGTATTTCTATAACTTTTGGAAAAATGATTGCAGAGAATATTTTTGAATGTCCGAAAAAAAAACAGAAAAAATTAAATCTGTGTGGACAAACTTTGAAGACCCCAAGGAAATACCTTGATGTCATTCGTTCTATTTTTTATACATATAAAAAATTATTTTCATGCTAACTAGAATAAAGACTACCATCAAAATTTTTTTTTTTTTAAATTTAAAGTCAAGAATCATCAGTAAATCAAAGCTTCCACAATTTCTCATTAAGAAAAAATAATTGATGTTAAACAAAAAATGCTCAATATTATTGATAAAAAATAATATGCTTTGACTCATAATACAATCAAGACCTTTGTTCTGTCGGTATTGTTTTTTTTTTTTATTAAAAAAAAATTAGATTGAATTCCTCGAGCCAGGTAGCGAAGATATTAATTAATATAAAAATGAATCAAATACTGAATTTATTTGCTTTTAAAAGAATTAATCAAATTTTTTTTTTTCATTTAGTTGACTAAAGTTATGAACAAAATTTGATAACATATTTACGAGTCTCTGATAAATTAAAAAAAAATATTCAGAAAACGGTTATGCACTTTTATAAGCCATTATTCTAAATTAAAAATTCGTGGTCACGATCTGTCTTCCGTACATTAAGATAACATTTCGCAATAATAAATACTGAAGTAAACAGTGTTGAAGCCGTATATTTACATCATGATCAATTGAGAAATGGGTCAATACCACGGTCGCATCCGTAAACCAATCTCTGCATTTGGTTTTCGCCCTTTCCCAAGAGCATACTATGCAAGTATAAACACACTCAGCCAACGTGAAATGTACATATAACTCGTACAAGTAACATATATATATATATAAATTTATACATAGACATATAAGTGATGGTATGAGTGATGTATATCCGATCCCATTCTTGAACGAAACTCGAGCAAACTTCGTAATCTTGATGACGGTTCAACGAGTGCCGCCAATTATCATCCGATTATCCAGAGTTCTACTTTCGCTTTGGCGAATATTTTTAACAAATACACCGAGTTAATGAGCAACGCTTTCATCATCCATAAAAATTGAAGGCGCAAAAATGAATATTTGTTTCAGTTTATTTATATTTTAATTCAAGTAATTTTATTATTTTCACACCATTTAATAACTGTTATCATGATAAATAGCATTCTTTTATTATGTACACTTTTGTATGTGCTAATTTCATCAAATCAAATGGCTCTCGGCATAACTTACTGCAGGCCATCGGTTTAATTATCTCCATCTCTGTTCTCCATTGATAGTATACATAGGTTTCTCGTAATGTGCGAGGAGCTCGAGGCGTCAAGGTCTCGCGCCGTAGGCGATCGAATGCCTTGATCAAACAAGAAAGCCCTGAATAGATCGACTACTCCTCGATTCGAATCGGCTATTACCTGATCACGTAATATACACAGAGACTAGTAATGCATTGAAGAAGAGAAGAACGTGTTGCGCGCACGATCTATCGATTATTATTTAACGAGACCTCGTCGATTGCCCGGGGGTGGCCGACAATTGCTTTCCCTTACCACTTAACTTTATCCTTACCTCCTTGCCAGCTGCAGCTTGCGTTCGTTATCTCGAACGTGCTTTTACACCCAAGATCTTTAATTGTCTTTCTTAATTCACATGAAAAAATTTTACTGTTTTTGTCAGACTTTCGATCAATTTACGAATATTCATGAATTCACCAACAGAACTGTTGGCAGAAAAATAAACTCACTGCTTTCGTTCTCTCTCAATCTGTTATTCAAAGGTTTCAGTGAAAGAGAGTTGATATAATCTGCAAGTGTATTCACTTTTTACTTTTTTTTATTGTGTTTTTTTTTTGTTCAAATGATTTTTTCTATCGATTCATGCAGAGTGAATTAAAGACAAATTATTTGACTGATTTTCAAAAGCTTGGAAGTTTGATTTTTAAAATAAATTCTTTTTTTTTGTGGGTTTTAGAAAAAATTTTATGAATTTTAATATTGCTTTTTTAAATCTCTAGTTTTAAATTTTACAGTTATCGAATAATTCCTAAAAGCATTATCAGCTTTTTTTAAATCTTTGATACTATCAGAACAAATTTTTTATTGTCGTTACTCAGAGAGTAAATTATAATTTATTATTTGGAATGAAGATTTAAATGTTAATAGTAAAGAAAAATTTTCATTCTAGTTATGTGACATAATCATTAATTCCACGTGAATATCCAAATAAATTATGTATATAAAATGAACAGCAAAGTTTGGTACATATATTTAAAAGATTATATTTCCAACATTTATGAATAACGTTTTAGAAGTCAGAATTTTACGTGCTACGAGCTTTTAAAGTCGTTAGTAATTTTAAGCAATAATTTAATTGCTGTATTTTACTTTTATTATAAAAGATTCAGTAATAAATTACCTCATCCTGAAAAAGCTTTCGAAAAGATTCTCTTCCATATTTCGGTGATCCTTCAAGTTTGAGGAAATCGGAGCACTCCTTTAAGGTGGTGCTTCTTTGTCTCTCAATAAGGCACTCCTCTTCCATTGAGCTCATGCACTCAGCACGAATCTCGTAACTTGCCATCGTAAAGTCTCTAGGTAAACGACGTACCACACAAATACACGGAAAAAATGAAAAAAAATAACAAACCAACACAAGGATTTTCCACTTTTTCAGGTCATTTAATCACTGCCAGAAAAGTGGAAAAATTTTTCGCTCTTACATTTACAAAAAAATTGGAAAAAAAAAATTGAAACTTAAGACAAATTGAAAGTTCAAGAGATGGAGTGATGAGCTTGGTGAGTTGAGCCGCGTGCAAACACACTCAGCGTACTCAATAAATCCGTGAGACAAATAAAAGGGTAAACAGATTCAAGTCAAACGGAAAAAAGACTAAGAACAGACACCTTCACTTGTGAATGAAATCAGCACCAGTATACTGAATTTCATTTATTCTGTTTTATTTCGTTAATTTATGCTTTTCCACTTTGCATTGTCAACTCCTGAACTCAGTTAATACAGGAAATTTCACTCGAATCGTCTCTCACTTTTAATCAATATTTGTTTATTTTTTTTTTTTCCTTTATACTAAACCTGTAGCCGGAGAAATTTCTTAGTATAAATCGAATCACGCAATTCATGAAAGGAGCACGTCACGAACAGACACCTTTTCAAGTCCTCGTCGCGAATATTGGAATGAAAATTTCGGAGTCTCGTTTGTACGTGTACGGCTTCGACTTCTTCTTCTCGTTACTACGATTGAGGGAGGTCTGATGTTGAGTCTAAGTAAGAGGCAGAGAGATGCTGCAGAAGAGATCGGTATTTTGAAGAATACAGAACGTGTGGGGGATATATGTATTTGTGTGTTCTCGTATAAAAACCTTTCACTTTTTGACAACTTTAAATCCACCTTTGCTTATATCTATATATTTCCTACTCTTTTATTTCCGACTAGAAATCAATTAAATATTTTTTTAGCTCAATGTCATTCGCCAATTAACCTTGTTCATTTACTTGTCTAAGTTATTTTAGATAATATTATTACTTTATTTTTTTTTAAACTCATTTATTTAATCAACTCTCAAGCCAAATGCTATTTAATAATTCAACTTCCAAATGTACAAATCTATCTCGTGATGTGTCCCAACGTGTTAATGGAATTTGAATCCTGTTTTAGTTTGAGAAAAATATATTGATGATTTTGAATTGTGATTTATATTATCTTCATTTTATTTATTTTTAATGGAAAATTGGGAAGCTTTACAAATTAATATTAATTAGAAGATTTTTGTATAGTTGAATTGATTTTTTTTTTCAAATTACAATTAATTCTCTGCAATAAAATTATAAATATTTTTTAATAATATAAAAAGGAATGTTTTTAATTAAATTTGGTTTAATTTACATTTTCGTTAAAAAAATTTTTGGAAGAAGATTGAATTGAACGTAATGTTTTATTTGGCGATAATTGATTTTAGAGAATATTTTTATAAAGTAAAAGCAATTAATCGTATAAAATATATATTTTAAAATAATGGACAATCGTTGTTTTTAATTTAAAAATTTTGTATTACATATTTAATCAATTTGAAAGTAAATCAAAATTAATGAATTATTAAAACTGATTTTTTGTTGAATGAAGCTTCAGAATTTAAAACATCAATAATTTATGAGTTTTTCGTATATGGCAATCATGAATGAAGTTATTGATACTCTGATTTCATTATTTACTTTTTGTTTTTTTCTTTCAATAAATGATATTCTGAAATAATTTAATATCTTTCTATATGCAATGCTCGTTTAATTAAAATAATTTATTTTGTAGTAAGTTAAGGATAATGGAATATAATATAACATTAATTAATATGAGTGTAATTAAAAATGGATCTAATTAAAAATAGATATTTTCTGCAGTAAATCAATATTTATTACTCGAACGTTTTCAATTATTCTATCAATAATTGATGAATATTTTTATTTATTGTTCATCATTTCTAAATAAGTGGCCATTTTTAGATATTAGTTTATTTAGATGTTAGATGAAAAATGTTCCTTACATTTATATTTGACGTAGATATTTTTATTTTTAATTTTAATGGAAGTAGTGAAAATGCTGGTGAAATATTCAGGATATTGAATTTTCCTTTGATAGAAGATAAATGTGAAATGCTATTTTTTGGTAGAATTAAAAGGAAAATTACATTTTATAGTGAAAATATGACGTATGAGAGAAAATTGGATACTTGATGATGCAAAGAGACAAAATATGAAAAAAATTTTAAAGTTTAGTATAAACGTTTTTAATCGCCTTTTCAAACGAGAGACAGGCATTTCTCATTTTTCAAGTTAATTAAGAATGAAGCAGTTTTTAAGAGATATTCGGTCGTTTTCTAACAGATATAGGGTAGTTAGTGGAGAGGAAGTTTGGTCTGGAATGAAGACGAAACTCACGGTGTGCTGCAAAAACAAAGTTTATTCGACCATAGAGGCGTTCCGGCGTAATAACGATGTCCCATAGCAATTTCACAGGAAACTGCTTTATTGCCAACTCGTAAATCGTGATACTTACAAGATGACCCGTAAAATCTCTTTTACTCGTTATCTCTAATGACGGAGAAGAGATTAATTAATCAGTACAGGACGTATAAAATATGATCATTTTTTTTCATCGTTTACTCTTTCAATTTTTATACTTCTTATCCTTTCTATCTTTAAATGCCTATTAATTAAAATGTTTCAACGACTTTTAACCTCTAATATCTTTCATCTTCTATTTAATAAATGCTAATTATTATTTTAATTGTTTTTACCAACCCAACATTTAGGATAACTTAATGAAAAAAGAAACAAACCATTTTATTATTCTGTTCATTTAAATGCCTGAAAAATTCAATTGTTTGACTTCTGACATACGTTTATGGGACTAAGTTTGGAACATTTCTGTTGTTGCGTTGTTCCGTTTGAGCAAATTTGAAATGTTTGTGAAACAATGGTAAACAAAATTATGACGCTCAAGTTATTTTATGAATTATTATTAAAATTACGAATAACATTGAATTTATTTTTTAAGCTGCATCTAACAAACATTAACAATAAAATTCTAAACTTACTCCAATAATAATTGTATACAATAGATAAAAGTGATATTAAAAACAACTTTTAATTCAAATTTATTGTAAGCTTCTATTGTGTTAATACAACTTGTATTAAAATATATATGTATAAAAAAAAAGCAGCAATAGAATATATAGTTCAAAAAACACTTGGGAATGGTTGATCTGATTTTGAATGAACACTGCACTCGAGAACTCAAGTGTGCTTTACGCTCTCATCCTCAAGTGCACTTTGTAATTCAAGCTTTATCTCAGTATTTTTCTTTTAATGTAATCCTACTATTTCTCATTGTTAATTGAAGGTTTTTGATATCCCAAAGAATCCCAGATAAAGTAAATATCTATCGAAAGTTCAATAAAATCAATTAACTATTTAATACAGATTTTACATATATATAAAAGTATATAAAAGGTCAATCAACGAAATTCAATCGACCGACACGCGGGTTATGTAGATAGGGGATCAACGAGAGATGATAAAATTCCGTCAGTAAATTGTGGAAAATTTGATTGTTTGATGTACATGTTTATTTGTCTGTCATTCGATAGAATATGGTTCTCGAAAAGGTTTTTTTCATCGTTATTACTTACAAACATATAGACATATAAATTTATATCAATTTATCGTTTACACACCTTTCAATATGTCACCCAATGAAATTATGACTTTTCTATTTTTCGTCTTATTATTCTCGATATTTCAGCAAAATTTTACTGAGTGTGCTTCATCATTTAACACTTATCAGTCTATTTTTTTTGTTTCAGTCAGATGAATATTTTTTAAATAATTTATAATTGACATTGTCAAAAATTTGATTGAACTTTATGCTTCAAACTCTTTGGAACATAAAAAAAAAAAAAATAGTTTTTGGAGTATCATTGATCCGAGTGTCTGTCATACAAGCTAATAAAAAACCTTGTGAAAATGGTTTAGTAAAAAAAAAAAAAAATAGAATGCATGATGGTTGAGGCTTTAGATTACAAATGAAAAATAATAGATACATTGTAGTTGATTGAAGGGTGATATTTGTTGGAAATTAATTAATAATAAAGAATAGATTAGAAACGGTATTGACTATCAGTAAATATTGATTCATGGTGACAGCCCTAAGTACGCATTTGCAAATCAGTGAAATTTAACGGTTGGGATTAGCTGAATTATCTTCTGATCGAATCACTGAGCTGTAGCCTAGGATTCAGTAAATGTTCTGGTTGATGGGACTGGTGAGAGCTGTTAAACAAATACTACTTTTCTTACATTACTTTTACTCATTAAAATATTCTACAAATTTACTCATCTCTAGGTAATTTATTCTGATAAATTCAATTAATAATTTAATTAACGGTCAAAAGAATGAAGTAAATAGAAAAAAAAACCCATTCAAGTTTGAGTTTAAAATCTATTTTATAGTGTTTGATACCCTTTAATAATATATTCGCATATATTTGATATTTTAAACCAGTCAAGCATTATAAAACATTTACAATCGATAAAATATGTCATAAAAATGATGTCAAGATAAGCTTGTCAACATTCTGATCAGTGAAAATTCCTGATTTATTTTTAGCGAATACTAGGTCATCCTTAAGACAAGAGGCCTTCTATATATAAAGTCACCATCACAATGTAAATAGATAACTCATGACATAAATATATAATTGTATTGTTTTTCCATTGAGTTGGAGATCAAGTAAAGAGTAGAAAATGATATGCACTCATCCGGAAATCGAATTCTAGACCTTTTGCTAAGTACGCGAATGTTCTTCCTATTGAACTATCAAGTACATCTATTCTTTGCTCTTTCAATCGCACCCGAACAACTCGATTAATCAATATTACATGTTCCTCGAATAGCAAAGCAGGCAAAGCTACTTATTTAAATGCACTTATATACAATGTCATTTAATTAAATAAATAATTCAAAAACTTTGTTTTATAGTATTATTAGGGGATATAAATTGTTATAAGGCTTTCTTTTAAAGTTTTTTACCTCAATTTGTCAAAGTTTTGATGAGACTTTTTCTTTCATTGATTCAAATGTTGAATCAAAAAGTTTCTCGTGCCAATGTGTTGTCATCCGCATGCTATTGATATCGTGCATTGTTTATCAGAAACGATCGTGAATTCCTTCGATGATTTATGACGACACGTTTGATTATATATAACTAATGCTTCACAATAATATAATGCTGAAAAGTGATCAGCTATTTTTGATTATTACCGAAGATAATAATTATTTTAGTACTAATGAAAGGGAATAAAAATAACGTTTATCAACAGACAATCGAATTAATTGTAATGCTTTTTTTAAAAGCAACTTTATTCAATAGACAGATATTTTTTTTATTCATGCCAAATTTTCAAGAGTAAAATTCATTTTAAAAATTAAATTACATGAACTGCGTTTATTATTCTGTGGATTTCAACTCTATGAATAATTAAATGCTTTAAATGATGATCATTGGAATGTTTTAAAGAGCTTAAAAATCTCTGCCTAGAGTATTAAATAGAAACTGACTTGGCTAGAAGTTGACAAGTACTGGTCGAAAGGTATTATTGATGCATTAAAAATACAAGTAATAGGATAAAAAATTCCGGTGAGAAATATAGAATATTTTATTTGGAATATGAGTGCAAGTGCAGCCGAAATAAGGAGAAATATTTCCCTGGTGAATAAACTAGTTTTCCCTGGAGGTGACCTGAGACAATCATCAATCGAGGCTAGCAATCTCCAATTTTCCGGCTCGTATAATCTTGGGAAAAATTTTCGTTTATCTGCGGTACGTCGATTGCGGTGGATAAGTGGAAATAGAATGTATATCTTGGTATGATGTATCTCCGGTACATATTGCAATAGTCGAAGCAAGGAAAATGTTGGGATGACCAATCATCCGGGTACATGAGCGATATGAAACTAATTCCTTTTATCCCCAGCGGCTTATTTGATTGATTACCTTGGTAAGATGATTTCATGAGTTTGTATATATCGGATTGAGGTATTTATTGTCTATTAGTCTTTCTCTAGTGTGGCGGTTGTGTTTGCCAACGGAAACATGCAGAAGCCAATGAATAGAGAGACTCGCAAACGAGAATGCACGTGGAAGTAGTAGACATGAGTAAACTGAATATGTACGGTATCCGGTAGTCCCTCGAATGATGGTCGTAAGAGAGCTAAACTACGATGGTTCTTCGAACGCACCAGTTCTCAACCCTTTCGATAAATCCTCCCCCAATTTTGTGGCGATCCATAACACAATCGCGTGGGGATTGCGCATGCGCATTTAAACCCGGAACCTGCGCCAAGTTCGATCTACCCCCGCCAAAAGCAACTGTCTACAGACGACGATGACTGTACTCTACTCTCGTTGACTCCTTGCCGCGCCTCACGAGGGGGGAGTCTGTACACACATAGCCGCGTTTCAGTCTGACTCCCTTCCTAACGCCGGCGTCGCGGTTGCCCCTTCCACAAATGCATCCCTATCGCGAGCATTTGCCACGAGTCTCACCAAGTCTCTCACATAGTGGCCCGCAGTCGTGCGTGTCTCTAGTACGGCTTCCCTCTCGTCCTTGTGGGTGCTTCTTGCCGACTCTCTTTCCTCTGCCGGATACCCCAATGAGGTCCCGCCGGAAAATCAAGCCGGCCGGCGGCTGACGCGCCACCGAATTTTCGCATCCACGCGCACTACCAACGTTCTTCTAGCTCTTATTCTCATTCATACTGTGTTGTTTCCTACATAAAGTAAATACTTTGTATATATGTAGATACATGAATATCCCCTCGACTACTGAGTGTCTCTTTGCCAAGAGTACACCTCTCACCACCGGCATCCGAAAGCAATAAAGCCTACCCTCGTAAACGCTATAAAGTTACTGTTTGGAATTTAACCGGATGACCAAAACAACCAAGGTTTGGCCATACATTATTCAACGGATATTGTGTTTTACTTGCTTCTTACTTTTTAATTAACTCTATTTCCCGCCGGAATTTCACTGTGTTTAAACGTTGAATTATCGAAGCTTCTTTTTTTATGCTAAAATCAACTACTACTCAGTATTATTTCCGGTTACTGTTACATTCGACTTGTGGTGTTGGAGTATTTACTTTGTATTAACACTATTAATGTTTGAAACGAGCAAATTGGTTGAAGGTAAATGAGATACATTTTCCAAAGGAAACTTTTTCAAGTTTACGTAAACTCGTGAACGACGCAACTGAAGAATGACTTTTTAAGAGACTTTGCTCTCCCGCACTTTATAAGATAAACTCAAGTTTTGTTTACGTTCTACCTGCATTTACCTTCTTGCTATATTTTTAACTCTCGAACTCGTTCAACCTCCCTTAGACTCTCACGACACTCATACCTACATTTTATTTCAACTCTATCCTACTCACTTGGTGATGCTTTTACGTTGACGTTGTAGATGGAGACAACGAACAAGTTTCTTTACTTCACACTGTTTTTCCTGCAATGTCACGTACATCTACTTGACTCGTACAATGTGCCCTGTGCCTTCAATACAATGTGTTTATGCTGGATACAGGACGACGAAGAATATTCAAGGATGGACATCAGCTGTGTGGGTGTTCGCTTCACTCGATTTCCTGGTAATTTTTTTTTTTATTTCTTTTTTTATTGTATTACAATAAATTTCAATTCCTATTTTCAAATTTATTTGCTTGTATCCTTCGTGTTTTTTTAAGTGGATTTTTTTTTTTACATTGAATGTCCGAACAAAATCGATTAATTCCACTTTCGAAAATTTTTTCTGATGGTTAAATTGAAAAAACTATTAAGCAGTTAATTGATTTCAACTGAAGATAAAGCATTTTTGAAATTTTTTCCTGTGCTCTAAAATTTGATTTAAAAAATCCTACATTGACAAAAAAAAAAAAACAATAAAAATATCCAGTTTTGTTTTGACATTTCTCACTTGACTACTCCAAAAAAAAAGTTCATTAAAAAAAATTAGTCCCAGTGACAAACAAACTACTCAAAAAAAGTTTTTTGTCATTTCACTTAATAATTAATGAGCAAAAAATATTTGAATATTCACATATCGAGAATGAAAATATTTTTATGAATATTTAAAAAGCTTTATTGAAGAATAAAACAAAAAAAAATCCCCTTTTGTGGTTATTTGTAAAAAAAAAAAAAAATTTTTTATTCAAACTAAATTTTTTTTCATCGTCGAATGATTTGTTTTCAAAATTTGTCGAATAATAGTGAATAAACAATTGGCTCCAAAAGTTTTTATTCTCAAGTATGATATTCTGAATGCTTACATAATTTTTATTTACTTAAGTTTTACTTTTAGTTACTTGGAAAATCATATTGGCAATAAGATCACGAGTCTTATCAAACTTTTATTTAACTTCACAAAAGTATGCTAATTTTTCATTTAATTAAAAAAAAATGCATTTTAAATATCGTGTTTTAAACAGTCTTAAACAGTTTTAACACAAAAGCTGTATCGCACAGTGATTGTTCCCCTAGATCTATGATATAAGTATACAAGTGTTTAAAGTAAATAGTAAATTTTCAAGTTTGATAATTGAAAAAAAAAAAAATGTTGGTTGGAAGTTTAGAAACACAATTTAAAGCTGATGATATATAGACTGAAACGCAGAATTAGTAATCGTTAGTAAAAGTTATTTTTCACTGTTAATTGAATTTGTTTTTGACTAATACTGTAATACACTCACGAACATAATTTACTTTGGAAAAATTGCATGAGTCATTTACGTGATTTCTTCCATTGTGTACTGGTTGGAGTTTATTGTAAAAGAAATAGAAAAATGGAGAAAAGTGAGCTTAGCACTTGATGCACAATCGACCCAGGTATATGTACTAGGTTTTCGTAGAAATACGGTGCACCTGAGTTGCTTTGATGATTTTGAGTAAGAGTAAATGTGTCTGAGGAAACCATATCAAAGACATCTTGCATCACTCTCCAAACAGTATTCTGGTCTCTGCTTGATATTTTTTCCGCATTTTTTTCGTTGCGACAGAAAGACTGCTTATTATTTAAAAGCATCCTGAGCTTGAGATTTTTTTAAAATTTAATTTTTTAGTGGTAGAGGCTGTGATGAGTAAAAACACGTTTATTTAACTACCGAAACTTGCAACCTACTTTGGGTAACAACAAAAGATTCTACTGCAGATCCAATAGTCCGCAGATGATGCTGCAGTTAAAAGCCTTACTTAAAACTATCTTTAAATTATCATTAAATATAAATTTTCGTAATATTAAATTTTACTTTCTGTTATTAGAAGTGAGATGAATTATTGGATATGTTTGAAAAGATGATGAATTGATTATAAAGTTTTTAAAATGTTGAAGTCTAGTTTTTTTTTGTTAATGTTATCAATCATTGTTGAGATTAAATTGAAAAAATTGTACGAATAAAAGCTATTTATGTCATTTTATATATATTATCAACTGTGGAGACAATAATTAAAGTCAATGCAGGACATTTCAATAGGTCTAGGGTTTTCTAAAAAAAATATATCAGAGTACTTTTCAGTGTTTTTTAATTTTTGTTGTAAAGAAGAAAGAAAATTATTTTAAAAATAGTAATTGGACTTGTGAGGGATAGTTTTCAATGTGAGAAGATGATTTTGAAGTAAATACTACACCATTTAACAGCTTCAAAATCAGCTTAGTACTTCAATTTAACATACACTAAGTCGATCAATTTTATTTCTATTCTTTAGCATGCCTGACCAGTACATTAAACTTTGTCTGATTCTACTTTTAACTCTTGTTTATTGAACATTCGAAACTCTAGATGCATAAATTTCGTATTTTTTCCATTACATCTGAATTAACAACAATAGTTAAGTAAACTTTTTTTTAAAATTCCAGAAATTTCAAATAAGTTAAAATGAAATTGAGGAAACTGTTATTTGATTCCGAATGTTTTTTTATTTAAATAAAAAAGAAATATTTATTTATTTTAGTATGAGAAAATAAGATGATACTTTGGATGAAAATGTCGAGAAATGACTTAAACAAGATAAATAAATAAATAAACAGTTACTTGAAACGTTGAATTAATACTTGATGAAATGAAACTAAAATTTGTCTTCAATTTAGAAGTTTAAACGGCGTGAGATGTACTCTTGTTTATACAGCTCTGACAATTTTGCAGCACCATGTAATAAATATGCGTCAGAAATAGTCGTTTCATCTCTTGCAAGTATATCGAGGATAATATGACGGGGATCATGATAATGTTCATCATCATTTATCTAGAGTCAAGTAGAGAATAAATTTTTCTTTATCATCGTATATAAATAAAAATTTTTCGTTCAGTGAGATTTTTGGAAAATTTCGTGATCAGATGAGATCATAGATATAATAGAAGGAATGATAAATGAGTTTTGACATCTTGTGGATACTAAAATCCGCATTAATCCGCGTTCCACATTGTGAGGCAATAATTTTTAAAGCGTACAGTGTGTGCTTTCGGTGTTAAATTCATAACTTGGAGAGCATGCCAAGCTCCAACGAGAGAGCCGAGGTAGAGACCAGCTGAATACTGCATTTTCCTCACAATTTATACCCATTATTTCCTGAATACCGAGAGAAAGCATTAATACGGATGTACAATAGAAAACAATAAGCGGCACACAGGGTCACCACAATGCGCTTACCTTTCTATCTATCTTCTACTTTCTCTCTATCTCTTTTACATCTTCTCCCAATTTCTTTGAATATTACTTTTCCATTAAATACTGAGTTATTTACCCTTTAACCCATTTCACTTCTATTGTTAATTTATATCCGCAATGAATACTTCGACATCAAAGGGATCCAACTTCTTGCTGGATTTTAATTAATTTCTGTCCTTTTACTCATAACTATTTACATAGTTTTTTTTCCCTAAGTAATTTTATACATGTTTTTATATATATATATATCAAAGACCTTTTGGGTTTTAATAAATTTCCTTACTTATTCTCTACCTCTATTGTTTACAGGCGAAAAGTAAATTTAAATTTAGCTGCGCACTTTCATTTTGGGCTAAACAAACGGGATTATACACTGTTGGTGAAATGACTAATCATCATTTTAATATTATTTATTTTTTTTTATCTCACATAAACAATTATTTTTTTGAAACTTTTTATCTAATTATGCTAAAGCATAGATTCTTTTTCAAAAATTTTTTGCATTCATTAAATATTAATATTCCTCTTCTTTCATATAAATTAAAAAATAGAAGAGTAATAGGGAAGAGTGAAATTTCGTGGTTCAAGTTAACTTGAAATATGTGCAAAATTTATGTTTCATGTCCATCTTCAGATCTCAACTGTTCATTTAGAAGTCTATTTACCCGAGGTCATTTTTGAACTTAGATTAGAATTTCTCGAGGGGATATCTTTCAAAATTAACTGTTCATGTCTTTGAGTTTAAAACTTTATAAATTAGTATTATTCCAATATATTTTTTTTTTTCATTTTCTCTTTCACTGATTGAACATGTCATTCAAAGTTGATGTATTCAACCGTATAGTCGGTGTTTTATTTAACCGTAAAAATATATTAACATTGACCAGTATTTCTGTGAGGGATAAATGCTTATACCTATTACAATTATTAATGGGATTATCGGAATATTGATAAAACCACTTGTCAGTGATGTTCAGTAAACTATAGTCAAATGTTTCGTCGTTTTATCGCGATAAATAATTTTTAAGTTCTGGTATCAAACAAATATAAATGAAACATTATACCATTAACTTTTATTTATATGATCGTGACCAATTAATTACTTCTAGAGAAGAGTTGATGGTAATTTGGTTTTTATAAAATACCAATGCACTAAAAATTAAGTAGATTATTATTAATCAACGAACAGAATTAAATTTGCATTTGATGATGGAATTTTTTTTTGTTATTTACAATTTTGTTTTAATGATGTTTAGAGATGGATTATTTATTTATATAATTTTTTAATCACAAACTAAAATTATGATGTGAGTAAATGAGGTGATATAATGAAAATAAAAAAGTGATTATTAAGGTAACATTAAGCTTATAAATGTTTGATGAAATTTATTGTAGGTAATATTTAATATTAATCGTTGGAAAAACAAGAACGTTTTATTGAAATTTAATATAAATTCAACGTGTAGGAGTTTCAATAAAATGTTTTGCTGTGAAAATAGCAAAAGTCGAGCATTTGCCACACAAGAGGAAAGTTTTCGATAAAAATACTCCTGGCTCATGTTGCGACTTTTCTTTATCGTAACTTTTATTTATCCTCAGATGTATCCGTGAGTTATGTGGCACAGCTGGACATCGTGAACTCTGGAATGCAGGTTCTTGAAAATGACGCACCGGTGAGTTTCTCGGGTGTCGAGGCACTTGGACTCATGAGCAACCGTCTCGTAAGCATCGGTGAGAAGTCTCTCGTGTGAGTGTTTGCACTAACCTCCCTCTATCCTCAAGATGTTTTCATTCCTCTATATTCACTTCACTTTTCTTCGTTTTCCAATCTTCCATCAATTTACAACTCCTGTTGATCGGTTGACCAAACGTTTTACTCAGCGGAAATTGTCTTCATCGATCCCATCTCCCAATTTTTTATTTCCCATCTCTACTTTCTCGTTTGATTTATTTGTTTCCCAACTCAAATTATCTCTTTATCGTTTTCCCTTACCCCTTATTGTCTTATTCCAAATTTATGGAATTTTTTATTAAAAATTTCGTTCCATGTTTTATTTCCATTGTAATCTCGTGTATTTCAGGAGTATGTCCAGCACATTGCGATCCCTGGATTTGAGCTACAACTCACTGGAGGAAATTTCGTTCAAAGCTCTCCGAGGATTGAAAAAGTTGAATTGGCTCAACATGCACAGGTAAGAAGTGGGATTTGACTGTTGTGTCATGCTCTTTCACGAAATCGATCGTCTGTCAGGGGATGATGAATCTCCAGAACGATAATATAGTTAAACTGGAATCGAATTGCTGTTATTTTTGCTTAGACAGATTTATTTATTGAAGTCAAAAGGAAGAGTACAGTAAAAAAGGACGAATAGATAAAAGTAAACGATAGGGATTATTGATACTCTTACTCAAAGTTACTCTTTTATTTTGTTTCTCTCTAATGTATTTATTCTATTTCACTTCTCCCGTGGTGTTTTTTACCGAACACCCGATACCTGGATTAAAAAATCCGATACGTTAATTGCCCACGGGCTTCTATTTGCCGCATTCACTGACCTCTACATTCTCTTTATATGTATTTGTATTTATTTGTTTAATACGTAAAATGAAATATTGTTAAAGTATCCATAACCATTTTAAAATATCATCCGGTTTAAATACGTTGAAATAAAAATTCAATATTATGCCATTAATGCACTTGGCCTAAAAAATTAACTCAATATCGATATTCATTTTCCAATAGTCCTATAAAACGATGCAAATTTTATATTAATTATTCCTATGTCTATAATATTCTGTAATTAATAAATTTACTTTCTGAATCTCATTGAATTTTATTTGTTTCAATTAAATTTCCGTAAACGTACGATTTTTTACAGCAAAATTCACGTAAATATAAATAAATTACTCAGTCAGATTAATAAATCATTCGAATTATTATTTTTCACGTTTATTCATGTGCATCGTAATAAATAAATGTTATTTTCATTTTTAAAAAATTTACCGAGGGAACAAAAGTGATTAATTAATTGAATTGCACCGGAAACTTGTAAATTTTATCTAATCATTTATTATTCTCATGTTCAGAATAGAAAGTTACATTAAATAAATAATTATTATTGATTTTTGAAAGAAAAAAAAAGAAAGGATTCAATTACAATTTAATTTAATTGAAATTTTCTATATATATATGGTGATACAACGATCTTTACAATTAATTCTAGAGTAAAATAAATTAGTCTAGATGTGGAACTTGTCAGTGGAGCAATATAATAATAAATAGATTTAGTTACTGGATATCACAAAGTGTTATTTGCTTTGATTTCTGCAGCAGTGAAAGTTTCCCTAACAAATTTAAATAGATGTAGACAAATTATTCATCTAAAGATAAAAGTTTTTATAAATAAATCATTGAAATTAATATTTTTAAATATATCAAACTGTGAAAAAAAAAGTTATTTCAGTTGTAACAAAAAAAAAGTTAACAGTTAATTTTCGCGTAAAATAAATTAGTCTAGATGTTTAATTGATCAGTGGTGTATATTTTTCGGCAGTAATCACATAACAAGTTTGGACGGCGACTGGGATCAGGTATCAGAGACGTTAACTAATGGATTTTTTGGAGAGAATTGCATTGCTGAAATTCCACGAGTTCTATCGCGGTTTCACAACCTCGTATGGCTTAATTTAGATGACAACAATATAGTAGATGTACCAGAATCATCTCTGCCTAAAAATATCCGTACTCTTAGTCTGAACAATAACCTACTGGAGAATTTTCCAATAAGTATATCAAAGTTGGCAGTTCTAAGTTGGTTATATTTGCGGGGTAATTCTATAAAAGTATTAGAATTACCAAACTTAAAAAGTTCATCGCTTGAACTGATTGATGTAAGCGATAACTTGATCGAATCAATTCGCTTTTTAACCTCAACAAATTCAACTCTACACGTGAAAGATCTCAACGTATCAAGCAACAAACTTTCAATAATCCCAGCTGGTGCCTTCCGGTTTGCAGAAACTCGACGGATCCATCTGTCATTTAACAACATCAGTTTCATCGATGAAGATGCCTTTCGGGGGTTGGAGAATGTTTTGGAGTATCTAAATTTAGAGAATAACGATCTCAATAATGTTCCAAGCGCTTTAGCAACTCTCAAGAGAATTACATACCTTTATCTCGGTAATAACGATATTTACAATATATCAAGCGATGCTTTTGAGTCATTTGCTGAGTACTTACGAGCCCTCTCCCTTGCTAATAATAATTTAGCAGCTGTGCCAGTTGCTGCACTGGCCTCTTGTCAAAGACTCTTACATCTTAATCTAGGATACAACAAGATCACCCATGTATTCCCTGGAGACTTTGAGTGGGCCAAAAGTCTCGAGATACTACTTCTACGAAACAATGTTCTAGCAAAACTCAAGCCTGGCACATTCAAAGGTGCTGTCAAACTCAAGGAGCTCAGTCTGTCGTTCAATCAATTGACCGAGTTGGATGACAAAGCCTTCACTGGCATCGAGGACAGTTTAGAAATTTTAGAATTGAGTTTTGCTTTTGCTACTGATGTTTTGCCAAAGGATTCTCTTGCACCGCTAAAGAATCTTCAATGGCTCGTGCTTGACAATAATAACTTCCATGCCATTGACTATGATTTCTTTTATTCCTTTTACCAACTAAGATACATCAATCTTGAATCCAATAGATTTCATTACTTACCAGAGAAACTCTTTGTTGCTGAAATCCATCGAGAATTGAGAGACGTTAAATTTGGATATAATTATTTGGAGGAGATTCCAGAAAGTACATTTCTCAATTTAACTGAATTAAGATCGTTGGACTTAACAGGCAATCGAATACGCTATCTTGTGTCGGGAACTATTGAAAATTGTCCGAAATTAGTTACCGTTTCACTAGCTTACAATCGAATATCTACGATGGACAAGGGTACATTTAGGAGCCTCACTAGCCTCAGGTTTCTCAATTTGGAGTTTAACGCTCTAACTGTTCTTGATTTGGATGCGATAATGGAAACTGGTGGTTCTGAATTTGCACTGAATGTCTCTTTCAACTCTATCTCTGTTATTAACTTCGAGCTTGGTCTGATAAATCTAACCAGTCTCGACCTTGGCTACAATAATCTTACTCAACTACCTGCGGAAATTTTTACTGGAATGCCTAATCTCAAGACTCTTGATCTTCGTAGTAATTACCTCACCTTTCTCCACTCAGGTGAGTCAAAAACTATTCTCTTCTCTTCATTCTGCATCTTTTATTTATTTTTTTTAAACTCTGCTGCATTGATTAATTATCTTTTTTATTGAAATACCAATAATATTGATCAAATAACTTCAATACTAAAATTAATTTTAGGTAGATATTCTATTCAAATTTTGTCTTCTCTTGATTAAAATACTCTTATTGAATAGATTAAGATTGATTTTCAAAATATTTATTCAATTTATTTCTATAAAAAATATTATATATCACAATTTTACCTGCAATCTTGGAAAAATTTATAAACTGGGAAATATTTTCATAAAAATTCCCCAAAAAAAATCATCCATCCGAGTTGATAATTATTCGTAATTATCTAGATGCGTAAAAAATTCAGTACTAAAACAAAAAAAAAAAACTCAATTGCATAGATTTTTTGTTGAGTTTTCCTAACTTTTTCATACCACATCATAATTACCTTCATTATTCTTCAGAACACTTCTGAAAAATGTATATTATAAAGGGTTAATATTATTGAGCGAGAACAAAGAAACGTAGTAATTAAAAATTACTCTTGTGACTCATTAAAAGTGTGTATATAAATTACATTAAACTCAGTGATGTTAGGAATAATTTTTTTTTTCTCAATGTGTATATCTATAAATGATACTTTAATATTAAAAAATATAATTTAAGTATATTAAATAATGCTTTGACATTTTGCATTTATGCTTTAGTGCACTAAAAGTATAATCTTACTTAAGCACTTGACTAAAGTGGCTATTAAAAATCGTGATCTGAAAACTAGTTAAGTGAAACGACTCAACAATCACGTAAATTTTAGAAAATTACCGAAAAAAACTTCATGATGGTACAATAACAATAGATGCAAAATAATTTAGAGTAATCCTTTTATAAAGGAAAGCTTTTTTATGTGTTTAAGAGGATAGCACTTGAGATGAATTCTTTAGAAGAATCCTTTAATTAAGAAACAAATGATTAAATCTATTATAAATATTTTCCCTCATTCTCTGAAACTTCAAACTTTTATCATTAATATTTCCATCTCTTCATTAATATTAATCCATTCAAGTTAATGAAAGAGAAACGGATAATTTTATCATAAAACATTTTATTAATTTTCCAAAAATTAACAAAAAAAATTCATCCGTCAAAAAAGACAATATAATTGCAGAGTATGATACATTTGGTGTGTGTTAATGAAACGCAATCTGCATGTTAAAGACAGACGTTATTATTCTTGGATAAAATTAAACATCCACAAGATGAAAATTTTTATATAAAATTAATTTGATAATTTAATAATGTCAGGCGCACAAAGTTGAATAAAATTATATATTAGTGGTATTTTATTTCGTTTTAGTAAAAAATTTTATGTGAATGCATTAAATTTCTCAGCATTTATTTCAATGTAATAGAATACGTTATCAGAGGATAAATAAAATCATTCGTCGACGTAAATAATATAAATATTAAGGTAAAATTGTTTCTCCATCTGCTACAATGTTAAAATGTTGACGTTTAATGGAAGCTCATTTCTCGAAGTAGTCGACAGCTTCAATTTTTTGTGGCGTAAAAAGAGAGAATGAAAACCGAACACGATAAAAATTCCTATAAATATAGTGCATTGTGTTTTGAAACAAAGATTACCTTGGTATTTCAGTAGAAAAAGTCAGAGTTATGTGAGACATTCTTTATGTCTAAGAAAAAAAATTTTTATCTCGTTAGAAGCAATTTTTTAGAGTAATTTTTAAATTTAAAATAATTGTAGAGTCGTATTAAAAGCATCGTAGATTAATATTTTTAACAGAAAAAAGAAAAAAGAAAGATTTCTCACATCAAAAGAATATTTCATTGGACTCGACTGCATTACTTGACCTCAAATATTCTTACAGTATGAATGTAAATATTCGTTGAATGAATTTTCTTTACATAATTCGAAGATTTTTACTGAATTTATAGCAAGTTTAAATGAATTCTTGTACAGGTACTTTTAATCTGGATCGTCTGGAAACATTAAATTTGCAAGACAATCGTCTAGGAGTTTTAAGGCAGCAGGCTTTTCGTGGAACGTCATCGCTTCAGCAACTGGATTTAAGTGGAAATTCTCTGTCTCAATTATCTACTGAGCAATTTCGCAATCTACGGAACCTCCGCATTCTCAATTTGTCGAGAAATCATATAAGATCTTTGTCTCGAAATGTCTTTGAGGGAACACGTATTGAGTTACTTGATCTTAGTTCAAACAGGATCAGTATCGTGCCTTCATCCGCTTTTCTTGAGGTCGGTTATACCCTACGAGATCTCAACCTTGCGGAAAACTTTATTGAGCATCTTGACTCATCAACTTTCTCTACCTCACAGCTCATCAATCTCAATCTTGCCAGCAATCGGCTTACGATACTTCCTGATAACTCTTTTGAATCACTCACTAAACTTTTGAGTTTGAATCTGTCACAGAATCATCTGCAAGCTAACTTGAAGGAGCTTTTTCACTATCTGCCAGAACTGAGGCAGCTTTACATGGCCAATTGTGGCCTGAAAAGAATACCAACGCTCCCCTTGGCAAACCTCAACATTTTAGATCTGTCATTCAACAGCATAGACGTCTTTACTCAGGCTCATGTACAGTACCTAGAGTCCCTCAAGGTATTACGGCTCATTAACAACTCCCTTATCGCTGTGCCAGACGTCAGACTACCGCTCCTCAGGCAGCTGGATCTTTCTGACAACCCTATTGAGGTAAAATTTATCACGAGTCACTGTTAACTTCAAAAAAATTTATAGATTAAAGCTCCCTTCGCTGCTTTTATATTTCAATTTCTTATCAACTATTAACAATTTTCGTTTATTATTTCATTTATTATATATTTTTATTTTCAATTAGTTTCCATTTAAAAATTCTTTACTTGGTATGATTTGTCACTTTAGTAGATTGAAATGTAAATGTAATGAATTGAAAAGTATGTACTTTTTATTCTATAGTTCATTTTTCCAAATATTCCATCTCTCTTTATCACTTTGTGAGAGATTCGAAAAAATAAAGAGCATTCTTTAGTTATTAAAAAAATTTAAAAACATTCTTAAAGAAAAAAAAAATCTTTAGAAATATTTATTTAAAGCATCTTTAAGTTCAAGGGATTATTCTTTGGATTGTTTTTTACTGCAAAATCCTTGTTCGATTTTTTTTTTCCAAATCTAGTTATCAGCTGTGGAAGCAAAAAGATCCATTTAAACTTCGAACTCTTATAATTCTTTAAATAATGATTTTATAGTAATAACGTGGATATCAGTGGAAACCTAATAATGTTCTATTTCAAATGTTATCACTAGATTCAAAGAAAAAACTTTTTTTACAATGTAATTTTTATCTGAGAATTATGATGAAAAATGATATCGTCTAATGAAAAAAAAATTAAGAAATTTCCTCTCTGAATTTCTGAAATTTCTCCAACACAATGGAAATGATTAAAAGAATTGTAACATATGGTATAAAACACTTAAAAGTTTACTTTTTCGAATACTCCAAAATTTATTAAATTATTCTTTAATTTAATCTAGAAATTTAGCAATTTAAATATTAGTTAAATTAATAAATTTTCTAGTAATATTGTAATGCAGTAAATATCTCAAATTCATCATCATAATGTAATTATTTGCTGTTAAAAGCAAGTTTTAATTGCAATCATAAACAATGTAAGCTATAATTCAATAATTAAATAGAATTAATTACAGCCTAAGTGTTTAAAAGGTGTTTAAGTACATTCATGACATATCATATTCAGTTTCCTTGATATATTGTCTAAATATTATTCAGCAGCTGTGATAATAAAGTTAAACTGACTTAATGTTGAGTTATTTCATCAAAAATAAAAAGCCTGATGTTTCACATTTTATCATTTCTAGTGATTTTCAGTGAGATTATATGAATTAACTGGAACAAACAACAAATAGAATAGAGAAGATATATCAGAGAATTTTTTTTTTTTTTATAAATCCAAAATAACATCTGAATAAAATCCAATAAAAATATCTTGAAATAACAGAGTGGTGGTAGATATGCTCCTGTCAAAATTTTTTAGTTAATGCAGTTAATTCATATGGTAACAGTTTTAAAATAAACGTAATATGACAGGGAAAAACGTTAAATTTAACCAAATGCCAGTCAAATCATCAGAATTATTTTCTCATTGAAAACTATTTTTCAAGTATGAATGGATAATTTATTGATATTTATGTGAAATAACAAAATGGTCATTATTGAAAGTTCAATGATACTCTTGAACAAAAATAGATGCCACAAAAAAGTATCCAATATTTGCGAATCTAATAATAGATACTATCTATTGCAGCTAATTGCAAATGAGTCTACCTAATTAACTTTATGCATATGAATTAGCGAGTTTAATTATTTAATTATCTTTTTTTAGGAATTAAATAAAGATACATTCATTGGATATCCTAGACTGGAAATACTCAATTTACGGAAGCTTCAAAGGATTAGATCAGTGCATAACGATTGTCTTCGACATTTACGTTACCTCAAACACTTGAGCATTCAAACTTGGCCTCAAGTCGGCGGACTTAATTTACAACGACTTTTAAGTGGATTACCTTTGCGAACAGTTGAGATAGAGGTGGCTGAAGCAGTGCTGAAGACACAGATTCACAATGCATTTACTCGTCGACTGAGAGAATTAACCATCACAGGTCAAGAGCTTGAGATAATTTCGTCAGAAGCATTCTCTACAATCGAAACTAGTGAACTAATCCTCAGAATTAAGGACACCCATGTGCGACGCTTTCAGTCTGATATATTTCTCTCTTTGGCACGGCGAATGTCACAGTTGACGCTTGATTTACGCAACAATCACATCAACGAACTCAGTCCATCTGTAATCTACGGGAATCTCTCGTGGGAGACTGTTGGTACAAACCTCGTAGCAGGTATGTACATGGATGGCTATTATAGAAAATAAAAACAACTAACCGAAAACGAGAATGAAAATATCTCAAATAAAAATCATAAATATGCATTTTTTAAATTTATATTGACAATTTAAATTTCTACTTTCTACTGTACAATATTGGAATATTTTTTTTTTTTTTGTTCACTTTGTAATATAGCAATTTACAATTTAATGTTATAAAAATATTTTTTTAACTATTATTTAATTATTATCTAATTTATAACCCAAATTAAATTGTTACATCTTTCTTTTTTTTTTTATACATTATATTATTAAGAAATAATTATTAAAATACATTAAGGGCAAAAATTTATTTTAAATAATTGAAATAGTTGCATGAAAAATTATTTTATGATAAACATAAATTTGTGGAAAGCTTTACCACTAAACAGAATAAATATTTGATAAAATTTTATTAAACTGTTGAAAATATTTAAAGTCAAATAATTTAATATAAACTTTTATAAAACAATTTTCCAGCAAAAAAATTTGATTACATTTTTTATTTGAAAGTAATTTTTGCCCCTAATGCTTGAGAAAGTTTCGTAAATTTAGGATAGTTTATAAGTAAAAGAATAAAAATAGAGTCTTAGAAATTTGGAAAATAACTATTTGTTCATTGAAATTCTCAGGTGGTCTTCAGGTGTCGGGCAATCCCCTTGAGTGTGATTGTGAGATCGCCTGGCTGAGTCTCTGGCTACGGAGATGGTTACGAGAAGCACGGCAGATTCATACGGCTTCACAGTCGGACGCAAGGCAGCTGAGAAATATAGCTGGTCGTGCAGTCTGCACAGAGACAACGCCATCGTATTCGTCTGATCGAGTACTTTTAACTCTCGGAACACCTCACACTGCTTGCCAAGCATCAGCTCTTAGTAGTGGACATTTTATACGACCTTTTGAATCCTGGTTTTTTCTCATCACTGTCTTTCTCATCAAATTCAGCATCAACCACACCTAGCTTATACGGTAAAGTGGTCTAATATTAGAATAAATTTTTTAATCAAATAACAATAAAAAAAAAGAGCGAAATAATTAAAGAAGATAGAGAAAGAGTGAACGAGAAAGAAGTGGAAAAAAGATTTGAAACAATATGAAATTAGGTAGTCACAGAGTAATAAGGAAGAGTGTAAAATAGAAAAGAGAGACGGATACAGTCGACGCGGCTTCATGTAAAAATTTACATAGTAACGCTTGTTATAATATTTTTTTTTTATCCTATTCGTTTTTTGTTTTTATACAAACTTGGACGGCTAGTACCAAGTATGAGATTTATTTTGAGGGAGGTGGTGCCTGGGTATGTTGAAGACATCCTTCTACATTTTCAGGCCAGTCGCAAACATTTTCGTTTGGATTGAACACCAAATTCACTGGACAAGGCATGTGATGTTTGCGTTCTCCTTCGCACATATAGTACATTGTGCAATCGTTCTTATCTGGGTGGTAGGAAATGTGATTATCCTCTTCATCACAAGTTACTTCATTAGCTAAAATGATTAATTGTCGTATGAATAATTGTTCATTTCATCAAATTGTTTTATAATCGTAAACTTGACAGATTAATCAATGTTATATTTGTATAATAATAAAAAGTAAATAAAAATATTTAAAAATAATCACTAAAACTTGACGCAGTGAAAAAAAAAAATGTATACGTAAATATCAAAAGTGGTTCATGTTGAGTTTTTATAGTCAATATTTAAAGTTATTGATTTATTGAAACAACATATATTTGTGTACTTATTCAATGAATTCTAAAGAAGGTTGTTCAATTACTACTAATCAAAAATATCTATAAGCAAAAAAAAAAAAAAGTCAAAGTCAATATCTCTTGGTGGTATTTAAACAATGAATAAAAAGAATTTCAATGAATTTATTTTAATTAAATTATTAAAAAATATTTAATGAATTTATTATTTAATTTTAAGAGAGAGAATTTTAAATGAAAGAGAATCTTGTTCTTTTTTACATAAAATTATGCTAAATTAACACAAAAGTTTTTACTGCGTCATTTGAATTTTCTTGCTCATGTTAATTTGTCAAGTCTTTGCAACAATTTGGAATAATGAATGATTACTTACGATCTTTGGTGGTATATTTCCCGCTACGAGCACTAGTTTCATAAGGACCGTCATATTCGAGCTTGACTGAGTAATTCTTGAGTTCTTTTTTCATCGTCTTAATCAAAGGATATTTGCCAGCTCCGCAAGTTCCTTTAAAGTCATCCATATCCACTGACCAAATCATGATACCACCAAAGCCCTCCTCCTTCAGCCAATTCATCTTGAGTGAGAATAAATGAGCAATATTAGTTAATGCTAGATCGCTCAATAATCAACATATCATAATTATAATTTAATAAAATTATATTATAATATATTAATATATTGATCAATGCCCAATTGTTACAGGGAAGGTCTATGTGAGTGTACTTGAGCGTATGCAAATGTATGTGAATTTATATTTTAATCATTCCTTTTTCTTATTTTTGAAAATGTTTGAAATTATTTAATGTGGGAAAGTCGCAAGCTGTCGCCTTTGAAAAAATTTTTCTCAATGTTTTTTTCTTTTTGTGGTAAGTCTCATTACCTTATTCACGAGACTCCTCTCGTCGTCAAATCCAACCCACTGGTTATCTCTATATGCAAACGGCACCTGCTGCTCACTGTCCCACACAAGGGTCGTATTGTCCTCGTTCAAAAAACTACAAACCTAAAAAAAAAAGAAAAACTTATATGCATCTCAAGCAAACTTAAAATCACGTGATCAAGAAAACTACATAGAAAGTAAATGCAACGAAGTATTATTATGTGAATTCTTCTTCATTTCCATAGAAAGTACCTCGTAGTACGAGAGAAAACCCGACTCGTTAGTAAAGTTACCAGGAACTCCACCCCCTGAAGCTGGTGCACCAATGTCAAACTTGTCCTTGTCTACTAGCGTGAAAGATCGACCGTACGTAGGCATTCCTATCATCAGTTTTTCTTTCGGTGCTCCTTGTTTTACCCACTCACGAGCACTATAGTCCTGTAAAAGCAGACAGAAAGGATGCATTAACATAACATTAAATTACAAAATAAAATTTATTTTTGTCGTAAGATAAGAAGTTTAAGTTTTAAGGAAAAATGAGAACATGAAAAAATCACGAAATGGGAGTACAAAAGGAATGAGTGGAATGAGAGATAAAAAATTAAGAAAAAAATATATGTATATAATAAAATAAGTTGATGATGAAAGTTTTTCCCTTACCACTGTGAGCTTCTTTTGGTAACTTGTAGCACTTTCCAAGGGGAAGAGAGGACTGTTGTGTCCAACCTGTCTCTCCCATTGTCCATGGAAGTCATATGTCATCACATTTATAAAGTCCAAGTACTTGGATATTTCAGGAACGTCATAACTGTTTTTATTTCATGAAAATAAATAATATAAAGGTTGAGAACAACAACAAAATTTAATTGATACAGTAAAAAAAATCTCGTGTAGATATTTTTAACATGATCCATAATAATGGCTTTTTTACTCAAACAATATATACTTTATGTTAAGCAGAGTAATAATAAAATTTTATTAAGCTAAATAAAAATTGTAAATAAAATTAATAATAATTTTTGCTGTTAATTATTAACTTGAATAAGATTTCGTTTAGATTAGCCACTATTTCTTTTATGGATCTTTTTCAACATGAAAACTGTGCTAAATTAACACGTTTTTTTTTTACTGTAAAGAGTGTAATAAAAAATAAATAAAAATAAACGATAGGAAAAAAGGAAATATATATATATATATTGAAAAATTGTATAACTTCTTCCTCTTTTCGATGACTTTAATAAAAAATAAAAAATCTATCAAGTAGTTTGAAAAGTTATTACAACATGAAGCTAAAGCAATTTAAGCTAGAGACCATTTTATATCGAGATGTAGAGAATAAGATTATTTACCCAGCGGCAATAGCTTCAAAACTTGCTGGAACTGCCGCTGAAAGAATCAATTTAGGTTGCCCAGAGTCTTTGGCTTCTCCTTCGAAGGCCAATCTAAGCTCCTTTAGAAGATTCACATAAGCAGCTCTATCATCAGCTCCTCTGAGAACATACGCCATTCATTTATATTTTGTTCAAGTTATAAGCTCTCTAGTTGTATTATAAATTTATCTTCATTCATTTACCGTGGATATTCCCAGTCGACATCGAGTCCATTAAATTTGTATTCTCGCAAAAATTCGATGGCCTCGTAAACAAATTGATTCATGCGGAATGTGTTGCTGGTGAGTTCTTTGAAGGGTTTCGAACCAAATGCCCAACCTCCGATTGCCAAAAGTATCTTGAAATTTAAAAGACATTTGAATAAATTTGATTAATTTGATAATCCATCATAGACGAGTATATGATTGAAATTATTACATTATTTTCAATCTTTTGGTAGAATTATTCTTCAAAATGTTCTTTATGTATTATTTCACAATGCCATTATGAATGTGATCAAAATCCATTAATGAAAATTCTTCTTGATAAATTATATCTTGTTAATGAATCAATGAAGACAATAATTAATTAATAATGAGGTGAGAAAGGAATTTTTGATCATTATGATGGTTTACTGGATAAAAAAAAAATAATTGAAGGCATTGGACTAAATCAACGATTTAAACATGAAATTAAATGGAAATGAAGTATTATGAGATAAAATAAATGACTTTTTAAAATATCCATTTAAAGCTAATCTTATAGAAATGAAATGAACAAATGAAATTTATTATTCTTGAAAATTTGTTTCTTTTAAAGGAAGATAAAATAAATAATTAGAAAAACATAAATTCACGACTCACCTTAATGTCCGGATTTTTCTCACGAAGGGCTATTAAACGCTCATACATCTCAGCGTCTTTCTCGGTGTTTTCTGTCAGCAAGTGATCTTTCAGGGTTGCGAATGCGTAGACAACGTGGGTGCAGAGGAAGGGATCAATGTCTTCTGGCATAAATCTTCCAGCGCCTGGGCGTTTGTGAGACCAGCTAGTTAAATAACAAATGGCCTGAGCTTCTCGTTCTATTTAAAAGAAAATTAACGAAAAATTAGTCCAATAGGAAAATTGAAATGATTTAAAATAGAATAAATTAATAAATTATATTTAGGGTGATGAAGGAATATTCATTACATTTATTAAAACGAACAAAAATATATCAATAAAATATTTCTTTGTTCAGGAAATCCTTGGCTTCTTGGTAGTTATATCTTAATAAAACAAACGTCTTTTCGTTATAAAAAAAACATGAATTCTACATTCAATGATGAATATTCATGTGTTCGAAGAAGAGACTCTGAAACTATTATTTCGGGTTTTTTTTAGTATAAAAAAAAAATTCTTTGTGTTCTTAATAATTAGCCCAAAAGACGAGACTTCCGAGTATATAAATTATTAATAAAGTGAAGATTTCTTCAAGCTCGAAGACATGAATTTAGAAGTTAATTAAAGATTATTCCAATGACTACTTTCTTTTGAATTGAAACAAATATTTTCTCACAATAATCTATTGTTCTTTAACAAAAGTAGAATATTAAGAGAAAACAATACCTCTAGATACCAAGAGATGCTTAAATTAAAAACTAATTAAATTACTTTCTTTATCAGATGATGAAAAATTTTGTTTTTACCACAACATTAGAATGCTAAATAATACCTTGAGAAGGTGTGTTGATGACTAATTGTGTGCTGGGTTTAGTTAATTTTTTAGCTTTACTTAAAACTTCTGATACAGCTATTTTATAAGGTTCTGGCTTCTTAATGACAACTTCACTAACTGTAGCTGCTACAGTACTCCAGTCAACATCTTTAGCATTATTGCCTCGTGATATTCCTCTCAGCTCTTCTCTCATAGCACCAATCAAAGGATACCTAACGTTACCACCGCAAGCTGTTCCATTAAAGTCATCCATATCAACCGTCCACACCATTGCACCACCGTATCCTTTATTTTTCAACCAATGCATTTTTCCACGGATGGATCTTTCATCATCAAAGCCTACCCATTGATCTCCGTGCACAAGATATGGAACTTTCATTTCATCATCCCATATATATGCTGCTCCATTTTGCAGCATCTCACAAATCTGAAAGGTCATTGAATATTTAAATTCCTCTCTGAATTTCAACGATAATAAACAATAGATGTTTTTACATAAATTTACACAATAAAAAACTCGATGGCTTGTTATAGAATATTTTTATTGGCTCTTATAGAATATGTTGGGAGATGAAAATTGTTTATTTTTTGGAAAAAATTTGATCTTTTGTAAAAAACACTATTGAGAGAATAATTCAGTTATTTTGATGTGAAAGCTTTACATCATTTTCATTTGTTTTTTCATATTTTCGTTAAAATAAAACTAAAGTGTTTTAGTTGAATATTGATAGTGAAGATAAAAAATTAAATTATCATTGATTTCATTAAATATAAATTGTTGGTGTAGTGGATTTTTATACAAATTTTTTTACATTACTTTTAAGTATTTATGTCTGGGTATTTTATTGACGAAAAAAAAAATTTTCAAGTAAGAATAAAATATTCGAGAATGTCCTGGAAAATATTTGATTGATGGAATAAATATTGATCCTACTTGAGTAATGTTCGCGAGTTCAATCAAGAAAAAATATTGTTGCTCAAGTTATGTAATTAATCAAGAATTTTTTCTATTAATCAAATATTCATTTCAACTCTAGTAAATACTTCCTCACTATTAGAGAATAAATATTATTCGACAAAATTTATTGTGGCTTCATAATTAGCAATTATTTTCTTTTATAGAATAAAAAACTTCATGATTGATTTCTTTAGAGAAACTATTTGACAAAACCAACTTGGCAAAATACATTAATTTAGAATTATTATTCCATGAAAAAAATTATTGCATTATTGTAAATAATTATCAAGAATAAATATCCTCATCACAGACAATCAGAGTTGAATAGATTTTGATACTCTCATCAAATGCGGAAGTTTTTACCGCAAGATAAAAAAAAAAAATATCCGCAACCACAAAAAAAAAATTTATCGTGTGATTTAAAAGTAAACTACAATATTATTTTTCTCGAGATGTCGTAGAAGAAAACCACAATTCTTTTTAGCATAAACAAGAGAAAACTCACCTCATAATAAGCTAAGAATCCTGATTCTTTGGTATATTCACCAGCTTTACCACCACCACTAGCAGGAGCATGAACCCGGAAATTGTCACGATTAGAGAGGGTAAATGATCTTCCGTACGTTGGCATGCCAATAATCATCTTTTCCTTAGGTGCACCTAGTCTAACCCACATTGAAGCAGCATTGTCAACACTTAGTTGTTTCTGCCACTCAGAATCCAACGAAGATGCATATAATGGTGCATTGTGTCCAGTTTCTCGCTCCCATTTTCCATGGAAATCGTAGGCCATTAGGTTTATAAAGTCCAGGTAGCTGTAATTATACATGGCATGTAAATTCATTGACCATTCATTATCATAATGATTTGCCATTATCGTTATAATAATTAATGACAACCATTAATGCTAAAAATTGCTTTTACTCCAATAGAATTTTTTTAATTAACCAATTATAGTGAAAGGTGAAGTCAGTTTGCTGCTTTGGTGGCCCACTTGCACTGGATATAATACCTTTGAAAGTAATTAAATGATTTTAAAGTTGTTTCAGGTTCAAAATGAATGATGATACTTTGGTCTTTTTGTTTGGATAAAAATTTGAAGAAATACTTGATAAAAAAAAACAAATAAAAGTGCAATAACTTAGATAGGTTAATTAAAACTTTATTGCAGCAGTTGAGTTATTCATTTAAAATAAGTAATTTTTAATTTAAGTAATTGATTAATGTAATTAATTGGTTTGATTGTGTAGTTCTTGAATCAAATAATTTAATTGATTTATTCGTTTTTAATGGAATAAATTTGATTAATTTTATTTAATTCATTTTATAATTTAATTGTTTTGGAATAATATCACTCTGAAAGTACTCAAACTCTTTTATAAATAAACGTAATAAAATTGACCTAGTTTTTCTTTATTAATTTATTGTGTAAGTTTAAAAAATTTATTTGAATTTATATTAATTATCATTTTAAAAGATAAATTAAAAAATCTGATGAAATGATATTTTTTTCTCTAATTTTCTTGCTAAAATAGTTTGTGGCCTACCACATTATATTAATATGATACAAAGCAACCACATTTTAATTTCACAAAAATACTCAGCAGATAATTTTTTGAAGTTTATTAAAAAACTGGTTATTAATCGATTGACTAGACTTGAATAGTTGGAAATTGAAAATCAGAATATATTTTTATCCACGAATGGACGGTTTATCAGGTTGTATTATAAAAAAATCCTCTTTATATAACGTCAAACTCATGAATTATACGAAAGTACTGGTACCAAGCAGTAAAACAGTGACAATCAAATTTTTTTATACGTGCATATCTCATACTTTTTTGTTCATATATCGTGAGAATTTAAATAATGGTCGATTTTTAGAGGGTCACTGGTGTCTTTATTTTATCGGATTTTCCAGAAAATATCTTATAAAAAATTTTACTACCATATAATTCAACCCCCTTCAAAATAATGACCAGTTAAATATTCACACTTTTTGGGTTTAAAATATTTATAAGACAAAAAAAAAATTTCCCGGCTTTATTTATCAGATATTAAAGTCAATAATGCATAAATAATAATAGAGATGAACGTTGTATAATAAACGATGCTGTACAGTTTGAAAACCCGATTTTTCTAACGTGCTTTAGTGGAAAAGTACAGCTGACTTTGGGAAAAAAGCTCGAGAAATATTCGATTATCAATTATTATTGATTAATGGGACGGATTGATGAGTTATGAGAGTAGAGAAATTGGACATAGGGTAAAGGTGAAGGGATAGGGGACAAAGATTAAAGAGAAAATTCATAAACTACAGCTTAAATTACGTGGAACACAGTGCGTCTGACTAATTATAACCGTTTCTACTAGAGAGACGAAGTGCTACCATAATTCCATCAATTAACTATTCTACCACTCGATCGAGATAAGCTTGCCATCGATGTTGATTTATCGCACCTGACGAGCTGCCTAACTAATTAGTATTGGTGATTACCTCGCTACTGCCGGTACATCATATCCGCTTTTCACGTTGTCCGGTCCAACTGGCACAGCTGCGGTTAACAACAGTCGAGGCTTCTTCCGCTCCTGAGCCTCTGCTTCAAAAGCTTCCCGCAGTTCTGCAATCAATTTTTTTCTTTTCATTTGTTTGATTTTTTTATAAATTAATAACTGATTATAACAGATGTTATCGAAATTTTATTTTCACACTTGTATGTTTTTTTTCCTTAGTTTTTTAATTTATTCCAGTTACGACAGTGTCATTTTGTGGCAATGAGAAACTGATGTCATAAATATTTAATTTTTTTCTTTAAATAAAAATATTTGTACATCCAAAAATTGCTTCATAGAAATGGTAAAGAAAAATTATTTATTCTATTTAGTTTTATTTAGATTTCATTAATTAATTTCCCGGTTAACTTACCAGTTTAAAAATCTTGGTATCCTTGAAATTTTAATCAACTTTTAATTAACTCTTGCCTAATATTTATTATTGGAATCGAGAGTTTGAATATTTACTCAAAAAAAAAAAAAAAAAATTAACAATTTTATTTTATAGAATATTTCAATGATTTATAAATAAGCGAGTATAAAATTTTTTGCAATTCAAAAAAAATAGCTTTTTATTAAGTATAATTTTGGTAGATAATTATTAAACAGTATGAAAAGGAAATTAATTAATAAAAAATTAATTAGAGAGGAAATGTTGAAACGTAAAAATTTTTTCAAACAAAATAAAAACATCTCGAATATCTTGAAAAAATACTTTCAACTATCACTCAGGGATTTTTCCGTTTTTTCATTCTAAAGGAATTTTAGAATAAAAATATATATGAGATGAATTATGATGCAATTGATTTCTTTGTGTTCCAGTGAAATATTTTCGTCACCACAATTATTATAATGTTATCATAATAAAGTGGATCAGCGGAGGATAATGATTCATAATATATGCAATACAGTAGTAGTATGTGTAAGCATATTTTAATAATAATGATTAGACAATGAGTTCACTATTGAGTTCAATATTATTATATAATATATAGAGAATATTAATTACCTTTCAACAGTAGAACATAGTTCTTTTTATCGTCACCACCCTTGGGGTACTCCCAATCAATATCAAGTCCATCGAATCCCCGATCACGAAGGTAGGGAATGGCGCTGTAAATAAAAGTCTGTCGTGCATATCTAGTTGCCGTCATGTCTTTGAATTTTTGAGTACCAAAAGACCACCCTCCTGAAATGATAGAAAGCCATTTTTTTAGAGCAATCAAATATTCATTTATTACCTTAAAAAAAAGGAAACTTAAAATATTTTAAAAAAAACTATTGAATGTAATGCCGAAATTAAATAGAAAAAAATCATGATGTGAATTTGTAAAAAAAAAATAACACAATAATGTAGCTTACCAATCGCAAGAAGAATTTTTAACGATGGGTTTGCCTTCTTCAAATTCCCTATACGTTCGTACAGGCCAATTTTACCATCTTTAGTTTCATCATTTGACTCGAAACTTGTGAGCTTGTTTTTCTTCAACCAACCGAATGCATAAATTATGTGAGTACAAAGGTCGGGTTGGATGTCTTCAGGCATGAATTTACCAATTTTCGTTCGATATTGCGACCAATTGGTATAGTAACAAACGACCTGAAACAGTTTTTCCCATTCATACTCCCATTAAATCTTCCGAAGATCGATTTCCGATTTTTCATATACAGCTTTTTATCCTGTGTTTTGACATGATAATGAATTTCAAAACACTTCAATTATTTTCACTCTTCTTGAAACTCTCCCCACGAACACCCTCAATTAATTGTGAAAAATTTAATTTAATTGCCAATAAAATGCCATTTGAAGCTGCAAAAATATTTATATCCGGAAATATGTATGGAATAAAATAAATGTTGAATTATTTATCGTCATTATCATCTCAAAGTATATTTTATGAACGAGTTTATAGGCCGAAAAGCTGAATAAATCGAATAATTGAATCAATTGGTTATTTGTAAATAAACAAAAAATTATCAATTTTATGTAAATCGGTTGTTTTGATAGGAAGAACCATTACTCTATCAAGTGAGAATAAATTCAGTTGAATATTTGCTTAAATAAACATCAGTGAAATTTCCTGTGAATGCATTTTGTGAACACGAACCTCTCAAAAGTTTAATTTGTTCCATTAGTAATTAAAATTAGTTTTCAATACTTAATGAATATTCTTAGACCTTTTCTTACTCAAACAAATACACAGGCTAATTGTAAATAAGTTTTCAGTCAGTAGCAGCAACAGTAGGCAAGTACTAAAGTATTTGATTTGTAAATTGTATCTTAATAGTAATCATTGTTAATTAAAATTCAAAGTTTCTTCACGTAATTAAGTTTGATTAAGAAGCGTTTTATGGAGTGACTTTTGCTCTCTCTTTGATCAGCCTACCTTGTAATCATTTGACTTGCTGCCAGGACTGTCACTGCTTGGTTGAAGCTCGTTCCTCGTGTTCTTTGTGCCCAAACGATTTCTCGTCACTTTGAATCTGTTGACGCTGGCCGAAACTTCTTGGTCGCTTGTTAAAGAAGGCGCCGATGTCGTTGGTCTGCGAAATCGTTTTCTCGCACCTGATTTCCCAATCAACCCGAGTTACTTCATTTATTCTTTTTTAATAAATATTTATTATCAACCTTGACTATTAATTGTGATTGGATTTTTTAGCTGGTTAGAGGATTAAATCAGCTTCATTTTTTTGCAGTTAAAATTTATAAAAAAAAATAAAAAATTTATAGTTAAATTTACTTGAAAGTGTTTCAAAGTCCACATTTTTAGCTTCAATTTCCCTTTTTTTAAAATTTTTCCCCGTAACTTTGTTCCTGAGTAATCGAGTCATAAAGCTGGAGAGATGGTTTGAGATTTAAGCAAGGATAACTTGGTGAAAAAGAATCGTAGGATATTTTTTTTTAAAGATGAAATTTAAGTGAGAAGAACTACAGTTTCAAACTTAACCAAAATCATTTTTTTTTTTTAATGTTTTTAAAAAATATGAAAACAAATTTTAACCCATATTTTTGAAGCATTTTTTTTTATTGAAAGTTTCGGTGCTTTAAACATTTGAAAAAACTCTTCATCAAAGTTTTAAACTTCACAATATTTGTGCTAAAATATTTTTAATCATTTCTTACTCAGTACACAATTGATTCCATTTAATTCTCTATTTAAAATTTGTTTGAGAAAAAAGTTTTATCGTTAAAAATACTTTTTCCAATAATTATAATCAATTTATCGAAAACTTTGGCAAATAAAATATTCAGTTGTGATTAATAATACCATTAATAATAGACCGAATTTTTCAACGAAAAAAAAAGTGGAATTTTCTAACAAATGAAATAAAACTATTAAATAAAATCAATAAATCATTCACTCAATTGAATAAAATACTTCCAAGTTCAATCATGATTCTACTCTATCCAAGAACAATATAGCTGATTTAATACCATTTTTTTCACTGAAATAAATGAATTTAATGCAAGAAAACTCGTCTAGAGTATTTATAAGCAATGAACTGTACTCAATTAATGAAAAAAAAATTTTTTTTTTCTCCAATACATGGTACCTAGCATTAATGTTCCTTTCATCAGAATGATGAGGTTTAAGTAACTTGTAAATTTATAGGCTGATACATATCATTAGCCTCTAATTCATTGAATAAATTAGCCATTATCATGTAAGGTATGATGTGTTCTCAGAGTGATCTTGGGCTCAATTATTTTATCAGGTTGATAAGTGTATTACAAAATTCACGGGTTATGTAATAGAGATAGCATACGGTAACAGGGCGTTACCTTCCGCGTGATTCATGACTTGGACGAGGAGAAGGAGTAAAGCGAAGCATATAAACGCCGTCTTCGTTGTTGTAGACGACACCTGGAAGCAAAAAGAAAGTGGTTCGGATCAGTGAATATTCACTTGGTAATTTATCGTCGATGTATATATACATTGAGAGAACGAAAAAGACTGTTAACTATGTGTATATACGATTTTATGTACATATCTATATAGAAAAAAAGACGATGAGAGAAAAAGTAAATCGAATTTTCCACTTGACAAGGTATCGAACATAAAACTATAACTGGCGAAAGTCTGTTAAGAGTCGCGGTTACATTTCTTGCTCTCTCGACAAATGTAATTACATTTCTGATGCTTTAGATTTTTGCTAAAAACTTTGGTTAAAAGGTATCAGAAACAATTCAATTTAATGGACATTTTTAATCGATATTACACAATTTATTTTTATTTGCATCAATAAATAATAATGAAAAAAAATTTTTTTTTATTCCAATCAATATCTATTTTTAATTTTCATGTAATATTGGTAACAATACATTTAGTTGCATGTTAAACATCGATTTTATCGATAATTTATTCATTTTGTTTATTGTAAAGTATCTTTTTTTATGTTATTGCGAGGAAAAATATGTTTACATATTTTGACAACAGTATTTCATGCACGAATTCGAATGAATAAAATGGTTACATAATATGTTGAGATTAATTTTAAATAATTCAACATTGGAAACTTGTTCGATTATTATTATGTTAGTTGAACAAAATTATTTTATCAAAATATTTCGCACTTAGTGTGACAGAAAATATTATATTTCACCTCCGAGCAGTGTCAAAAACCGTATAATTATTTTAAAAATATCGTAAAAATTTATGGAATATCAATTTCTTAGATAAAGTCATAAAAGTAGAGGATTTGAAATATGTATCAACTTTAAAATATCTCATGACATTTTGATATCTCTACAAAAAATTTATATATTAATATAAAAAAAATTTGATAATATTACTTTCATTGAGTAATAAATATTTTATACAATAAAATAATAAAATATTAATGTAATAAAGATAACAAAGCAATATCCTGAATATTTTGTCACAAAATCGTAATAATATCAATCAATAGTTAGATGATTAATTAAATTTCATTATGTAACAACACAGCAATTTTTCAAATTAATTGAAGATAACTCCTTTTGATATATTGATTCTAAAAATAAAAAATCCACCATTTTAGGTTATTTTCTCATATCTCATTAAAACATTCTCTCGTACATTATGATAATTAAATACTCGAAATGAAATAACATAAATTTAATTTGAGAATAATGATAACTTTAAAAGTACGATACGTCCACACTTGTGTAGAAATAAACAATGTGAAGTGTGATGAAAGATATGCATAAAAATAGGAATAAATGCATACACTTTTCCTTTTATTTAAAAATTAAATAGCAAAAGAAACAATGGAATAAGCAAAAATGTAGTGAGCATAAAACTAAAATTGGAAGCATTTTTCTGCGTCTTTTTTATGCAAAATACCTGGGGAGAATAAAAAATATGTCACCCACGACACACAAAAGCTGTTGCGTTAGATATATATACATGTATCATATCTGAAGCTGTGAGAATACACAGCTCATTATTTTTACCCTGATATCCGCTACAGATGTTTATAAACATATGTATAATATATAATGTATATGTATGTATGCATGGAATAAAGTGAGTGCTGTGTTTAACGCAAAAAGGGAGACACTGGAGTCAGTCGTTGATGGTATCGACGTTGTCTCCTCTCAGTCTCTCTTTCTTTCGTCTTTGCATTGTACTTTACCACTGCAACTATGCAACAATATGGCCTAGTAATTACGCGCGTATACTCAACTCGTTGGCTCGTTCAGACGAGAAGAAGAAAGAGAGGAGTAAGACTGAGCCAAAGGTTGTTCTTGAACAAATATCCATTTAAGAGTCAATTAACTATCTAACAATTTGTCGTTGAATGCAGTTTATTTAATAAATTCATTTCCAATCACCATTTGAGTTTTAATCAAACCTCTAGTTTTGTTTTAACATTTTTTTTTATCATTATTTACTTCTTCTTCTCAATCAAGTAAATAAAATTCACTTTACAAAATAATAAGGAATACTAAACCATGCCACGGAGGATGGCTTTATTTTTAATTATTTCAATATCTTTTGATAATTTTAAAAGAATCTATAAAACTTCGAGAATAATTATTAAGTGTTCTATCGAATGTTGTAAAAAAAGCTTGAATTATTTTTTCTCAAATTCTTTCTTCCTCAGGCTCTTATAGAGAAATTATTTATTTTAATTCGTACGGTGTTTTTAGAGGGTGAAAAAATATGAAGATCTATTGAAATTTATTCTTCTTTAAAAATGTGAATTTCCACATACTTTGAAGAGCAAGCTTGTTTTTTGTTACTCTTCGAGGACTTGGTTTCTGAAATAATTATTAAAATGAATCACTTGCTGAATGATGTATATCAATTTTGAAAAAATAAAAAAACTTATCTTGAACTATTTGAAATGGAGAATTCAAAAAATTAATTAAATTTTTATCTAAAGTATAAACATGGTTAAATCTCTTTGAATTTGTAAACAAAAGCACCATGTTCATGAAAATTTCATATTAATGGTTTCCTTAAACACAATAGATATATATTAAATTCATACAACAATTTAATTAACTTCATTAATATTGTTTACTTCACTGTTGATATTTAATTACATTTCCCTAATCAAACAAACTATTTTTCTCTAATTATTTGCAGTAAATATTTTATTTAATTCACGATTTCTCTACGAAAGTGAATTTCTTTAATCATCGTCTCTTAATCGTGTAAAAAAATTCCATTTTAATTACTAGCAAGAATGATAAGTATCAATAGATGTAAAAGTGTACTCGAGAGAAGTTCATTAAAAATCTAACAACAATTCATAAATGAAAATAATTCACTTCATAAATTCATTAAGTGTTTTTAATTACCATAAAATTGATGAAAAAATGTTAAATTTTCAAGATGCATATATTTGTTCATTTTTTTTTATCACTTGATTATTTTTCCATTCTTTTCTCGGGAAAACTTGTTCTTGTTGGATGACGCAGCATAACTTATTTTATTAAGCGATTCATAACGAATAAGTAAGCGATGTAGAATGCGTACAACCTTGTGCGCCTTGCTAATCTACATTTTATTACGTTCGTTATGCAAGAAAGACAGTACTTGGAGAATTATTGAAGAGTTGGGTAGGGAGAAAGAATAAGAGTCTAATAATATACTTACAATTCTTTTTCAGGATTTATTATTATTTCTTAAATAATAATAAGATGAGAGTACTCAATAAAAGTTCTAAATTTTTTAACAGCTACTGTACTATTAAACAAATTGAACTATAAATAAGGAGCTATTTATGTGAAAAAAAGGAAACAGTAGAAATGGCTTCAAAGAGGTTTTTTTTTGTTGGTTCATGGAAGATTATCTTTTGAGTTAAATATAATAAGATTCTTTCTTGGCTTAAGAATTCCTTGTCTTCATAGAGAGAAATTTGTAGCGAAAGACTTGTCAGAAAAAGGAAGAGAATCCTCTTTTTGTTTATTTAAGAAAAATGTTGATTGAAAATTTCCAAGAATCTCCTTGAGGTGTGTGGATATTTACTCGTTTTCAACTGATGAAAAATTAAATTGAATTCGAAAAAATACATACTTTGTTTCTTATTTTATTCTGTGTGAATAGTATTTTATAATGTTATATTATTCAGATAAAATTTCTTCTAGTGGTATTTTTGTGGTAAATTTTGTTATGCAGAAATCGCTTTTATGCATATTTTTCTCCTTATGTTTTATTTGATATCATTAATGTAATGAAAGTGGGAATAGACTAATATTAAATAAATATTTATTCACATTTTTATTCACTTTTATTTCCTTCCGTTTTCATCTTATCCAGGATACTATATTATCTTTAATGATAATTTATTTGTAATGTAAAGAAATTTGTGATCTTTTCAAAAATGGGATAAAAAATATTTACTTAAGAATGAGAAATATGAAAATTCTCTTAGGGTATTTATTTTGAAGTCAAGAGATATATAATGTAATAATCATAATTATATTTGTAGATAAATTCATTTCTTTTTTATCACAAATGAAGTTAAAGTCAACTCAACCACAATCTTTAAAAAACATTCACTGTCTTGAATTGATTAATTTTTTATTATTTTAAATTAATCAAGAGCTACTTTATCTCTGGAGAAAACATAACACTGTATATTTTTAATGAAAATCCAATCAAAAACGTTTCGAATTACTGTGACATATTTTTTCGAAAAAAATAAAAACGTAAAATATTTATTTCCATTACATCACTAGGGTATTCGAAAAACAAGGGAAAATTGTCTGAAAATATGTTTCACAAAATTCAACAAACTATTTTGGAGTGCATATTCTCCAATATCCACTCCAAGTCAGAAGCTAAAAGTCTTCTTAATGTTAAGAAATATTTTTCTTGAAATGGATCTTAAATGAATCAAAACAATTTGACTTTATTTTTTATATCATATCTTTACATAAAAAAAAAAATATTCTCTCACAGTCATTCTATTAAACATAAAATTCTCCCTATATAAATGTTCTCTTTTCCAACTTGAATGTGTCACTGGGATTTAAAAAAGTTTTCATCATTTGATTTACCACAGACTTCAATGGACTTTATGACAAATAAAAAAAAAAGTGTTCTTGTTTATAAGTTTATTTATTCTGAGCTTCTTTTTCGCCATTATTTAATAATATAATGAGGCTATATCTTATAAAAATTTCAAACCCGATGGCTGTTGATCTTAGGATGGAATAAAATTTCTCAACGTCACATCAAATCTTCACCATAAATGATGCATCTTTATCAAAGTGGATATACCTTGCGTAACAGAAATATCTTTCGTCACAGCTAATATACCAAGTTACTGGTTAATATCGGAATAAAAAAAAATGGATAAAAATATGCAAAGCCTTTGGGGTTGGCGTCGACGCCAGGATGGATATCCGCGGGCTAGTGAAGAATAT